AAGTGTGTAGTGGCAGAAGAGACGGAGCCCCAGCTTCACTGGTGTTGTGCCGAGTTGTCCACACCTCGTGGGATTTTCGGATAATTTATCACCGTCGATGAACCACACAAAGAATTTTTTATGGTTATTAAATAGCCGGGTACTTGAAATAGACCCGCGACGTGCATGCACGTAACTCTACACTGTAGAGCGGAGTTAACCCTGTCTTTGTCTTTGCGTTTCAGGCTGCAGTGACGTGGCGGAGGCTTTCCGGCTGCAGGAGATCGACGGCCAGGCTCTGCTGCTGCTGACCGAGGACCATCTGATGACCAGCATGAACATCAAACTGGGGCCGGCTCTCAAGATCTGCGCTCACATCAACTCGCTGAAAAACCAATGAGAGAAAAAAAAAGGCAGACAGATTCGGAGAGAAAAAGAGAGAGAAGGTCAGGGCGTGAAGTCGAAGGAACACAGGCAATAAAGATGTGTGCAAACAGACAAATGGTGGGGGAGAAAGAGAAAAACAAAAGCTGACACCAAGGATGACAGAACAAAGTCACAAAAAGAGATCCGTTGTAATTTATGAGATTATAAATTTGCGGTGTGGCCTTAGGAGACCGGAACAGAAGAGGTTTGCAGAAGCATGGAGATCCCAGAGTCCAGAAGAAAGTTCATCCGTTTGGGCCCTCTGACTGTAGCAGGAGACTGATTTTTGTAACTTTGTGTACATTTTACATGCCGCTGGAGAGTGTAAATTTGAAGCTATTTCATGAAGGATTTTCAACATTTAATATATAAAATTTGTCTATTTAGTTTTTTTAGAACGTGACGTCAATGACAAATCTATCCAGTAGCTAACATAACCGGTGTGTGTAAAAAAAAATAAAATAAAAACAAATAATAATAATAACGACACGTAGACTTTGTAAGTGATTCATGAAAGTTTAATGTTTTCTATCACTATATTCTGGGCAAAAACATGTCTGTGGATTAAAAAAAAAAAGTCACTATCAGGGTAGAGACTGGTGTCTTTAATCATCACATTTTTATGGTATCCTGCTTGAAATTATTTAATAAATGAATAATTAATCAATATGATTGGTTTATCGTATTGTTTGAAATAAAATGAATACATTTTTTTACACGAGGATGGAGGATGAAGTCACCAGCAGGGGGCCACAGTGAGCAAGGTGAGTGGTATAAAGAGAAATCTGTGTTTCATAGAAGTGATTTTAATTCATATCACAAAGTTCCTTCCGGAAGCTTTTCCAGATCCAAACCCTCAAATCTGGACTAAATATTCCAGGTCGGTCTGTATCTGCTGCTTTACTGATTGATTTAGTTTTTGTTTTTCTGTCTGGGCCTGTCTGTCTCTCCATATCTGGTTTAGGTTAGGATCTCACTTGCGCTCTGATTGGCTTAAGAGTTTTTCACCACACCCGATGATAAATCTTATTCTAGGCATTTTTCTGCGCATCAGCCCAGGACGCACTGAGGATTACTTTTTTAATTTCTACTTTTGTTTTTAAGGATTCTGAACCAAAAATTCTACTTTTAATCATATTTGGAAAGACTTCAACGTTTCATCTTTTAATAACTGAGCAGAGAAGGATACAAATATAACTGAATCCTTCTCAAGACATCTAGTTTTTCAGCCTCTGGAAGAAAAAAAAGATTTTTAAAGTGCAGAGAGACCACTACAGATATTTAAACACTGTCATTTGTTTTTCTCATTTTTAAGACAATTGTTTTTTCGTCGGAGCAGAGCGCGTAAAAACGCACGGCGGCTCCATGGCGCACTTGTGCAGGCAGATCACCGGCAGCGCGGCGAGCTGTGCGGGCTGGGTCGGGATTATCGTCGCCACTGCCACCAACGACTGGGTCCGGACCTGCGACTACTCAGTGGCCACCTGCCTCCGCATGGATGAGCTGGGCTCCCGGGGACTCTGGGCAGAGTGCGTCATCTCCCCGACGCTTTATCACTGCGTGGCCCTCAACCAGATCCTCACTCTGCCCGGTGAGAGGAAGAGGGGGAATAGAGTGTAGTTATTAAATCACATACATAACTAATAATTGTATTATTTAAAAATATTTCAAATTAGTTTGAGAAAAAAAAGATCTCGTTTTAACCCATATTGTGTTTTATACTTATTTTTGTGTGCGTGCATTCCTGACTGCGAGAGAGTGCCAGAGGTGAGCAAACACATGATTCAGGTATGAAACCTCTGTCTCTCTCTCTTTCAGCCCACGTCCAGACGTCTCGTGCTTTGATGATCTGCGCATGTCTGCTCGGCCTCCCTGCGATGCTGCAGGTACTGATGTCCTTGCCCTGCGTCCGGCTGCCAAATGACACCGCCGCCATCAAGAAGCGACGCGCCCGGGTGGGAGGCGTCCTCTTCATCCTCATGGGTGCGCGCGCACACACACACACACACACACACACAATTTCAAACTAATCTCAATTTGTGGAGACAATGAGACAGTCTCTCATTGGAGGCCGTTTTGGTTTTTAGTTTTGAGATGTACGGTAGGGTACTCTGGTCTTTCCCTGCTGTTGCAGGTGGTAAAGGGCTGGAAGTCAGGGTCAGGGTCTGTCAGACTGGCCTGCATCCTGCTTCCTGTGGGATGAAGTAGGTAGTTCCTGTCAACAACCTCAGGGACAGACGGCCAGATGGATACAAACAGCGTACAGAAACTCAAACAGTGTGCAGATGTATCTTCAGGCCAAAGAACGTTTTGTTTGTTTCCCTATTTTTCCACTTCTTCGTAGAAATGACCATCTCCTCTGTAACTCCTCTCTTCCAGCTGTGTGTGGCATCATATCGACTGTCTGGTTCCCCATCGGCGCTTACCAACACGAGGGTCTGATGGCGTTTGGCTTCTCTCTGTACGCCGGCTGGGTCGGCTCGGCTCTCTGTCTCCTGGGCGGCTCCATGATCTTGTGCTGCCACGGCGCCGATGCCTGGACCCCGAGCAGGGAGAACAGCTTCTTCTACTCCAGACAGCGGGGCACGGCCACGCCGCTGGACCCCCCCCCGCAAACCACGCCAAGAGTGCACAAGTGTGAAGTTTCCCTTTTTGACATTTAGCTGATCCACCTTTGAGAAGGACTTATGATACATGAGCAGGTAGGGGTTTAGTGTATGGCACAGGGGCCACCAGGAGCCACACAGTTACAGGAACATAGTCTCGTTGTTTAATTAAAAATCCCTGTGCAGAGTCAAAGAAACAGGGTTTCTGCCAAAACTATTGTTAGATCATATATTATACTGCTGCCTTAAAAAACAAAATCAGGCATTTAGCGCTGAATTCGGACAAAATGGTGTAACTATGGTCTGAAATTTGCTTTCTGAACTAGTTTGATGTATTTAGATTCGTTTGTTTTTAACATGATTTGAAATTAGAAAACTGTTGCTCTCGCATGTGTGACTTTACCTTTAATGATTATTATACTTTAAATAGCATGAACACATTTCCAAAATCTTACCTGAAGTACAGAGAATTACATTTGTTGAGATTACCTGCTCTCATTTAGTCCATCACAGGTTGTTTTATGTACCATGTGTAACCTTTTTCATATTAACAGTATAATCAATATATATCAACTGTGTACTTGTATTGTGCAATTTTTTGTCCAGTGCTACAAATAATTAAAGTTTTCAAATAATTAAGAGTCTCACAATAAATCATTTCACTCCAAATGTGACATTTATTCCTGCAACACGAGAAAACTTAAATGCCCCGTTCTCATTTACACACATTAAAACAATTAGTTGCTGCAGGCAATAAACAGAGCAAATAGTCTTTCACTGTAAACACCATTCACTCAAACAAGAAAAACAAACACAAAAGTAACTTTCAGCCACAATTAAGATATTCAGAGATGCCACGAACAGCCATAGGATGAAATCCTTAACTTTCAAAAAGAAAATGCGAGCCGCTAAGTTTGATCATGAGACTGATGGTAAAAGGAGAATTTACTTTTTTATTCTGGCGACAGAAGTCGTGTGATTGGTTAATTTTTTTCCTTGGGTAAGTAGCAATGCGCAGAAACAAGAGGTAAGAGGGGAGGAAAGGCTGTGAGTGAAAAACAAGTGGTACCACCAGACGTCCACCTTTGTTTTTCAACGTTGCCAGTTAGTAAAAGATCTCTCTTCACCCAGTGAGTTTTTTTTCAAAGAGGGAATTTCTGCCTCCAGGGAAAAACCTACCTCCTTGTCAAGTTTGTAGAAGCAAAGACAAGAAGTTTCACAAAGCCGGACTATTGCTTATTTCTTATGATTTGAGTCTGATAAACGTCGTGTGTGAGTGAGGGAAAGAGCTCCGTGGGGATAAAATAGTCCAGTCCTTGCGACTTTCATCAGAAGAAACAGCTGAAGAGAAACCACGTAAAGACTGATGACAAGTGTGTTGAGGAAACCCTGTTGTAGATCACCTCCAGTTTAATGTTGCAATACTGACAGTCTCTGCTGTCCCTATGGATCCACTTCCAAATGAGTCTACCACACACAGGCCCAGGATCTCTGGATTCAGGGGGGGCTGATGTCATAGCTTCTGTATTAAGTGACTGTTGTAAAGTCAAAAGTAAGGATGCCCTGATCACATCTGTGTTGTTCCTGTTTCTGAGTGGAATAAGGCTACGTTCAGACTGCCTTAATGCTCAATTCCCACATCAGACTCCAGTGTGAACTGAAAGTGACCCGCATGCGCAGAAGAATAACACAACGTCACACGCAGCACGCTGGTGCAGGCTACAGAAGTAAGCAAGGAGCAACAGAGGTTAGTTTGTTCCATTTTTTGTTTTCTCCTATACAAAAAAAACTGTACAGTGCGTGTTTAGATTAAAGGAGACCTATAAAAACTGCTTTTCCAGTCCTAAATTGTATTTCTGTGCAGCTGGATGGCAGCTTTGCACGATTCAAAGTTCCAAAAAATAATTTTCTATTTTCTATTGACTCTTGTAGGCCTTCATTTCAGCCTCTGTCTGAAACAAGCTCTAGATGCTCTTGGCCAAGACCTGAAGCACGTTACCGGGGACGAGTTCAGCGCCGACAAAACCTGTACCTGTGAGACGATGAAATAAGATCCAGGAATTTAAGTTCAGTTTCAGATCTGTTAATTTAAAGGCTTATTTGATGCCAAAACAATACACAACTACAGACGACTCCAATAGGTCCGCAGGATTTTACAACCCGAAAGAGTTATTATTTTGTTACGACAGTCGTGAGGTAAATAGTTGAAAGGGGTTAACGTCTGTCGTATGGGTAGTCATTGATTCAAAGTGTGGTGTGAAAAAATTTGGAGGGACAGAAGAAGCACAGGGGGAGGATTTTGTATTGCAACACCACTGTTTCACACACAAACTGTTATCGTGTGTGTTAAAAGGTGCATACAGACACCAGAAATTACCGAAGCTTTGCAGCCGCCGGGCCCTTCAGTTGTTGAAACATTCAAACTCCCCTACCTCCTCCAACGATACGTTTTTTTCACACTGAGCAGACAAAGGCAGGGGTTCACTGGTAAATATTTAAATAAAATGTTTTGGTATGACTTCGCTTGTTTTGGAGATTATTTGATTTACTGTTTCGTGTAGAAGTCACTTTCAAAGTATTCCTCATTCTGGCATAATTTCAGTTTGGAGGAACAGGAAACAACCTCACATCAGTCCTCCTCTTCACCCACATCAAAACCACGATTGGTCCTTCCTCTGCCACCTCTGCTTGTATACTGGCCTCCTGGTCCGGACTGGTATCCATGCTGGTCACTGTTATCCTCATACTGGCTCTGAAGCTGCTCTCCATCTTGGTCGTCGTACTGTCCCTCCTGCTCGTACTGGTTATGCTGCTGGTAGTGGTATCCCTTCTCCTCCGGGGCAGACCAGCCCTGGTAGGGTCTCTCCCCCGGTTCCTGGGGGTAAAGGTTGTCATCGGGGGAGAAGGTGTCATCGAGGTGGTCGTCGTATCGCTGGTAGGAGCTGGAGTGCGCCTGCTGCTCCTGGGCGTTCAGCTCCAGCGTGCTGTGCCACACTCCGTAACAACCGTAGATCAACAAACCTGAGGACGCACAGACGGTAAATGTTAAATAAAAAATGTATGACCGCCTGAAAAACTGTCTAACTGTTTTATCACAAACTTCAGAAGGTGGGAAACTCTTCGCTCTCTTCATCATCTGTCAACCAACTGCAGACCTAACAGAGAGATTGTCTGGAAGATCGTTTCTCTGCTGTACCTCATATCTAGTCTGCATTTCTGTAATCATTCCTCACTACACACAATGAGTAAACATCTCCTGTTTCCCTTTCAAGCCAGCTAATAGAGATCAGATGGATTGCATTTGCATTTATTCATTTAGCTGACACTTTTATAAAAAGCAACTTACAATTGCCATATATGTCAGAGGTCGCACGCCTCTGGAGCAACAAGGGGTTAAGTGTCTTGCTCAGGGACACATTGGTGTCTCACAGTGGATTTGACCTCAGGTCTGTCACACCAAAGGCAAGCACCTTAGCCACTGCGCCATGTTCACATTCATGGTGACCACAAGACGAATCCTACTGACAAACTCTGGGAGTGCCACCAACAAGTTGCCATTTGTGCTTTTGATTGACATGTCTCTACAACTATTGGATGTGTTGCCATTAACCTTTGCTACACACATTCATGTTCCCCTCAGGATGAATTGTAATAACTTTTAGTTATCCCTTCGTCTAGCGCCATCAGCGGGTCAAAATTGTAATTAGTCGTTTACGACCAAAATACCTGACAACTTCCCATTAGCCTCACCTGTACTTTGTGAAAAGTGCTAAGACGAAAATGTTAGCATGCCAGTAAAGGAAGATAGTGAACATGATCAAAATGTTAATATTGTTATTGTGAGCATGTTAGCATTTAGCTCAAAGGACCATTATGCCTAAGGTAGCCTACATCCCATGCATTCTGTCAAACAATTAAGGTAAAATGTTGCTACTTCTCAGCTGATTTATTACCTCAGTAAACACTTTCCTAACGAGTTTATGGTCTCAGTCGCTAGTTTCAAGTCTTCTTCCACACAGCATGATGTTCGTTTAGTAAATTATGGTCCCATTTAGAGGAAAATAGACCAGAAAGCAGAGTATGCTTCAGGGCAGGATTATCTGTGACTGACAAATTGTTTCCATGGCAAGAGTGATTTGTACCCATGTCACTGTGTAAATTTAACCAGCGCCGTTGAAAAAGCTTATTAGGAGTCGGCTGTTCACTTTCTCTGGTGAGTACATTTAGTTTTAAGCCTGCTGTTCTCTAGACAAAGTTATCAGCCCTGTTAAAATGACAGTTGACGTGAATTACAGATGCACCTAGCTAAGCAAGCTAGCTAGCTCCACACACGGCCGATAGCTCCACTCGTCCAATTATGGTCACGTCCGGTGCCGCTGGTTGCAGAAAATCAACATGGCGGTGCCAAACTCGAGGCTTCAAAACAGCAGTCCACAATCCAACGGGTTACGTCACAATGACTACGTCCACTTCTTACATACAGTCTATGGTACAGCCTCACAAAGCTGCTAGCATAGCAGCAGACACTCAGCTCCCAAAGATGTGACAGATAAGAATACTACCTGGTACATCTGAAACAACGGTAAAACTGACACTTTGACCAAAATACACTTTCATGTTTACTGTGAGAGATGTTGGTTGGTGTATCACATAGTTTAGAATGAATGGCAGTATTGTGAGTCCCGGTGAGTCCCGGTGTCTCCAACTGTGCTGACTGTGCAAGAACTAAAAGAGCAGAGGAGCCTGTATGATAGGCGCAAACTAAAAATAAGCACAACAGTTGAAGTAACTGAAACCATATGCTAAAACAGATGTACGGGCCTCTCTTGAATCCTCTTCCATGTGGGTTTGCCTTTTTAGACTTTGCACTCTGATGTAATTTCTCATCTTTTACTCCCACTCATGTAGGCGCAGCAAACTGTAAATTACACCAAACTAAACATCATGACTGCACATCTGTAAAAAATAAAATAAAAACATCTTGCAGTAGCCTAAGAAGCAGAGGACTCGTCAGCTAAAAACATTAATTTAAAACCAAGTTTACTAATAAATCTTAACTGGCTTGATCATGCACAAACATTTAACTGCTGACAGTAGGTGGACTAAGAGAATAACATACTTCTGCAGCGTAATTACATATTCTGCACACAACACTGATTGTGTTTTTATTACATTACAATTCAAGCTGACCACAAACACATTTTTAAAACAGATAATAAGCAAAACCCAGCATCTATGCTCTAATAGTTAAAATGCACTTTGAGGTTCAAATACAGTGGGGGAAAAAAGTATTTGACCCCTTGCTGATTTTGCAGGTTTGCCCACTTACAAAGAATGCAACAATCTACAATTTTAATCATATGTACATTCTAACAGTGAAAGACAGAATCCCAAAGAAAATTCCAGAAAATCACATCATATGAATTTATAAAAATTGATAACCATCTGATGAGGAAAAACAAGTATATGACCCCCTACCAAACAGCAAGTATTCTGGCTCCTACAAGCCAGTTAGTCTTTCTTTAAGACACAGCCCCAATCCCAACCAATTATCTACATCAAATACACCTGCCTCACCTCGTTACCTGTATAAAAGACACCTGTCAACACCCAAACAACCAGCATCCAACATCAGCACCATGGGCAAGACCAAAGAGCTTTCTACGGACATCAGGGACAAGATTGTTGATCTGCACAAGGCTGGGATGGGCTACAAGAGAATCGGAAAGCAACTTGGAGAGAAAAGATCAACTGTCGGTGCAGTTATCAGGAAATGGAAGAAGCACCACACCACCGCCAACCTCCCTCGGTCTGGGCCTCCACACAAGATCTCGCCTCGTGGGGTGTCCCTGATCATGCGAACGGTGAGGAATCATCCCAAAACCACAAGGGGGGAACTGATGAATCAACTGAAGGCAGCTGGGACCACAGTTACAAAAGAAACGGTTGGTAACACACTACGCCGTCATGGATTGAAATCCTGCAGCGCACGCAAGGTCCCCCTGCTCAAGAAGAAACATGTACAGGCCCGCATGAAGTTCGCCATTCACCACCTGGACGACTCAGAAGAGGCCTGGAAGAAGGTGATGTGGTCAGATGAGACCAAAATAGAACTTTTTGGCCTCAACTCGTCGTGTTTGGAGGGCAAAGAACACCGAGTACAACCCAAAGAACACCATCCCCACCGTCAAGCATGGTGGTGGCAACATCATGCTTTGGGGGTGCTTTTCAGCCAAGGGGACGGGACAACTCCATCGTATTGAGGGGAGGATGGACGGGGCCATGTATCGTGGAATTCTGGACCAACATCTCCTTCCCTCAGTGAGAGAGCTGAAGATGGGTCGAGGATGGGTGTTTCAGCACGACAACGACCCTAAGCACACCGCCAAAGCAACAAAAGAGTGGCTGAAGAAGAAGCACATCAAGGTTCTGGAGTGGCCTAGCCAGTCTCCAGACCTGAATCCAATTGAAAATCTTTGGAGGGAGCTTAAAATTCGAGTTGCCAGGCGACAACCTCGGAACCTGAATGATTTGGAGGCTGTCTGCAGGGAGGAGTGGGCCAACATCCCTGCCGAAATGTGCACAAACCTTGTCACCATCTATAAAAACCGTTTGACATCTGTGCTGGCCAATAATGGCTTTTCTACAAAATATTAACATGCTGTTTGTCCAGGGGGTCAAATACTTGTTTTTCCTCATCAGATGGTTATCAATTTTAATAAATTCATATGATGTGATTTTTCTGGAATTTTCTTTGGGATTCTGTCTTTCACTGTTAGACTGTACATATGATTAAAATTATAGATCGTTGCATTCTTTGTAAGTGGGCAAATTTGCAAAATCAAGGGGTCAAATACTTATTTCCCCCACTGTATAACAAAGAATGTTTCATCTCACCTACGAAGCACCAGATCGTGAACCTGGCCCACGTGATGGGAGACAGTTTAAGCATGAGGTAGCTGTTGACCAATATGGCCGCCGCAGGGACGAAAGGCACATAGGGCGCCATGTAGGGCAGTCTCCTCCCACTCTCTGGCTGCTGTATAATCATAATCAAAAGCTTTGCCATGGACCCCGCCATCGTCATAGCCATGAGGCCTGAAAACCCTGCGGCAACACCTGTTCCCTGCTCAACACCAAATATAACCGTGGACCAGAGGAGGAAGGAGGTGAGGAAGAAGAGGAGTGTGCATCGGGTGACTATGCGGCCAGTGGCAGGCGTGGGCCGGGCCGAAGCATCGGGAATTCCCAGCCGCAGCCGCAGGGTGTAGTAATGACCTCCCAGAAGCCGTTTCAGCAATGAGGCGTTGCCTGTGTGGAAATCAGAGTTATCACCCTCTCCTTCGGTCCCGCTAGCGTGGTAGGACGCCGATCCATCACCGTCTGAGCCTTCGATCAGCATCTGGTCGTCTTTGGTGGGGACAGCCCCATCGTCCTGGTTCTTCAGGTCGGCCACGTCCTCCCCGGAGTTAAACTGGTGCGTGTCGGTCTGTTCGTCAGGCTGGTAGCGAAGCAAGAGAATACAAACGCTAACCAGGGTGTAGGCCAGCAGGGTGCCGATGGACATCATCTCGATCAGGTCCCTGAGGCTCACCAGCAGAGCGAGGATCGCCGCAAAGCTCCCGGACACTGCACACGCCACTGCGGGAGTGTGTGAGAACGCAGACACGTGTGACAAGAACCTGCAGACATCAGAAAGTTAGCTAGGAATCCTCTTTCTACCTGTGTGTGTGTTTGTGTGTCTCATGCCTCCTTACCTGAAGAGCAGTCCGTCCCGGGCCATGGCGTAGATCACTCTGGGCATGGGGAACAACGAGCCTAACAGGGAGACGGTGAGTCCGGCTATGGCGCCCACAGCCACGGTGTATTTCCCCCACAGGAAGCCGTGCACCGCAAACATCTCCATGAGAGGAGCCGAGCCGTCAATCAGGTTGTAGGGAACCATGAGAGTCAGGATCACACTCACCTGTAGAGAGGAAAGGTGGTCAGGTAACCATGTTTCTTTTTGGTTAAGAGATTTTGTGTCCTTCATGTTACAAGCATGCACTCGCACAACAGTACGTACTGACCGACACGTAGGCAGTGAGGCAGGTGACCAGTGAGGCGGTGATGGCGTACGGGATGGAGGTGTTCGGGTTCTTCGCCTCCTCTCCTGTCGTTGCGATGATGTCGAAGCCGATGAAGGCATAGAAGCAAGTCGCAGCACCTTGCATCACCTGATGAGCAACAAGAGACCACTTGTTTCCTTTTGATTTCATTTGATCAAATTATGTGTTATTTTCTTACATCTGAACCCCAAGGACTGTAAGACTGTGCCTTCCAAGGGACTGTGCAACCAAGGTGGTTCAATTTCTCACCCCTGACCAGCCGTAAGGCAGGAACTTGCCGCCCTCCCAGTTGCTGGCAGAGAGGAAGAAGAGTCCGGCGATGATCATGAAGACCCAAACCACCAGGTTGACCACGTTGAGGACGTTGTTGAAGCCCACTGAGTTCCGCACACCGAGAGCAATGATCACTGTGACCAGCAGGGCGATAAACAGTGCCAGCAGGTCTGGGTACGTGTCCTCACCTTTACCTGAGACAAACAGGAACACAACTCCATTTCAACATAAGGAAGAGACAAAGTGTGTGAGGACTGACATGACAGGAAGTTTATCTGTTAGAATTGAGATAATTAGACCCTGATGTCAGGTAGGTTCACAAGAAAGCAACAACTCAAAGTCTCCTTACAAATCTGAACTATTTATCTTAAACTCTTTAGCCATGCTAGCAGCAAGACTCTTGGGATGTTGCTCTGTTGGTCCACCACTTTGGTCCAGACTGAAATAGCTCAAAGACATTCATATTCCCAAGAGGATGAATCATAATGACTTTGATGATCTCTTGAATTTTCCTCTGGCACCACCATGACAGCCACATGTGGTTTTCAGTGAAACGTCTCAACAACTGTTGGATGGATTGCCATGGAACTGGGCTCAGATGTTCACAGGATGAATTGTAATCACTTTGGTGATCCCTTAAAGAGGAATTTAACACCGCATGAAAACCTTGTCTTTGCAGTGGTTTGACTTTTCACCTTGCTGTGGTGATGTAAAGGTAGACTTTCTCTTTCGTCTAGAGCACGGTGTTGGTATCAGGGGCACTGGTCTGTCCGAGAGATGGTTTTCAGTTAAGCTTGGGGACATTGCTTAATCTACTCCCTTCTTTGTGGGGGGCTAAACTCTTAGACCACTTCTCTTTTCCCTATACCTCTTCCCTCTTGGAAACATTCTTTGAAAGCATGGCATCTCCTACCACTTCTATGCGGATGACTCACAAATCTATCTGCCCCTCAAAAGATGTGAAAACAACTCCCTCACACCTCTACTACAGTAAAATATCTTTAAAAGATATTAAGGACCTGGGCTACCTGCAACCAGATGTGAAACCAGAGTCACAAATCTGGGTATAAAAATAGACAATGATTATCTCAAAATTATTTTGAGCATGTTTTTATCTCAACCCGTCTGGACTACTGCATTGCGCTTTTCTTTGGTGTTAACCAATCCTCTCTTTTACGCCTACAGTTAGTCGAAAACGTGACTGCTTGTCTTTTAACTGGAACTCACAAGTGTAAATACATTACACCTGTCACTCCACTGACTCCCGCTCCATTTTAAAATACAAATGCATCTCATAATTATTAGATGATTAGATTATTAATATTAGATATTCATTTATTTTTATAATTTTATTCAGATAGTGACGCTTTCATATATTATAGATTCAATACATATAAAGTGAAATATGTCAGGCCTTCTTTTGTTTTAATCATGATGATTATGGCTTACAGCTCACGGAAATCAAAAATCCATATCTCAAAATATTAGAATTTATTTATTAGAAGACTTCAGGTGTACTTTCTATTTAGCGGCGCTAATTAGGAAATGTTAGCATGTTAACTTGCTAAACTAGCATCATTATATATGCTAAATATTAGCAAGTTACCATTACTGATGTTATATTCTTTAAATTTAACAAGCACTAACTTTTCTCATACAATAAGAACTTTATTCCTGCAGCAATGTTAATTTGCTCTGAATGTGCTGAACAATGACACATGTATTGATCGTACTGACCGAGTCCTCTGAGTGTGCCCAGGTGTGTTATCATGTAGTTACTGATGCTGTGATTGGCCAGAGAGTCGAACAGGCTGCTAAGAGCTGACGCCCCCGCCGCAGTGCCAATCAGATACTCCAGGATCAAATTCCAGCCAATGAAAAACGCAACAAACTCCCCGACTGTCACGTAGCTGTAGGTGTAGGCCGAGCCGGTCGTCTTGGGGACCCGGACACCAAACTCTGCGTAGCACACACCTTAAGAAGAAATACAAAAAAAATACACAGACACAGTTTAAGGATACAAGGCGACAGCACCTGAAAGTCCTGTACTAAAAGTAAAAGCACGCTACATGGCCAAAACTATGTGGACACCTGAACATTACACACTTATGTTCCAAGTAAAGTAGTGATTGGAAGTACTGGCTCTTGGAAGGGAGCTGGATCTTCGTGTAGTACAACTTCTGCTGGTCACTACATAAGTTAGTGTCTTATTAGTTGCAAGAATTAAATATGGGATATCAGCCCTCAGGTGGGAGCCGGCTCCCATCATTCACATAAAAGTTTGCAACCGATACAGTAAAGTATCAGGACCTCATTTCTCAACAGCATCTTCGAGTATAAGGCAATATCCTTTTTTTTACGGACAAAAACTAACAATGAATGTATCTGCTAACAAGTAGTTATGGATATATCTATAAATCTTCCTCTGAGCCATAGAGCTCCATTGTTGTTCATTAACTATTAAAACACATCAGTGAGCCTCAGCAGCTGCACTGGGTCACATGTTTCTTCATCACCATGAACACACACTTGTTTATTCTGACCCAGTCCCACATAGACCCTCCTGCTGCTGCAAATACTCACTAGAGCGCCACATGTGGATTCATCCGCCGCTGAATATAGTCCCCAACAGAAGCACTATTTCCTCCTGTTTGAGTAATGTTTTCTAAGAACTACAGTGACCAGCTGTTTTAGGAAATTACGGAGCTCTTTTTACAACATGAAACTATGTATTTATGAGCTGTTTTTAAAGATTTACGTATTCAGTAGGAAGTCAGAAAGTATTGACTAAAGGGTCTTTTCATTGGATTTGTTGACTGTAATGAAAATGACTCCATAATTTAAGGGACGATAGACATCTGAGCCTTTGGAAATTTACATCAAAGTCCCACTTCGGGACAGTTCTTGAGTAAACAAACTTAGTTACTCTCCACCTCTGGTTGGAAAATGTTCTGTTGTGCAAACCTCACGTTGTCTCACCTGACAGTATGGACGCCATCGCTGCGATAATAAATGACAGGATGACCCCAGGCCCAGCCATCGCCTTGGCAACCAGCCCTGACACCACGTACATTCCCGTGCCCACGCAGCTGCCCACCCCGAGCGACACCAGGTCCACGGTGGTCAGCACCTTGGCGAGGCCAACTGCGGACCCCTCCCCGAGCTCGGTGAGGTCGTCTGAGCTTTGAGCCATGGAGCCCACAGGTTTGGTTCGCAGCAGGCGGGAATACATGTTGTACCAGGCGTCGCCCAAAGACAGGCGGCCCAGCCACGCCGCCATCACCGCACCTGTTTATAAACTGTTACAGTGTGTGTTTGTGACTCCGTCTACCTTTTCTCTGTCACTCCCTCTATCATCCTTTCACCCTCATCAAGAGTGTCTTCTTCTGACTTCTTTGTTAGGTTTGTTCTTTAAGAGCCACACATCCAAATGGAGGGCAAAGACTCTGTGAAAAGCAGAAAGTAGTCACTTTAATAAAAGTATCAATGAAACGCAATGAAAAAATTATTTCATCGCAGCCCTGGACTTAAAATTTACAGAAGTAAAAGTACAGAAGTAGCAAAAGTAACTGCAGCTGCTCCATAAGTGGATGAAAATTAACAATATTTCTCTTTTAACCAGCATAAACCGGATATATTGTGTTAAAACTCACACGAATAATTCACTGCATGTAATTTATGTGTAATTGTAAAAAGTGAACATCATATCCGCAGGATATGTCCTCAGGCAGAAATCTCAAAACATAAAACCAAAACTTTCTGCATGACTCAATACCACATGAGGGAAACATACATCTTGACTAGTGCAATCTTTTAGAAAATTGATTGATAAATTGCTCAATAAATTAACAAAGTAATCAGTCAAAAATAACTGATTGAAAAAATAAATAAATGGCCAAAATCAGCCAGGTGAACCTGTCCAACCCTGATGATGTGAGCCAGCGGGTCATGATGGGATACCATCTGCTGCTCTCCTCACTCACTAGAGCGAGACTCCCTCTCTGAAACATTAATGAAGACCGAGAATCTACTTTCACAACGGAAAGGCACGACTTTGGAAGCTAAAACTGAACTGCATGCAGACCTGAACTGACTTCTAGCAATCAGAAATTACTGCTTCACACTCTGATCAACACCTGGACTGACATGAACCTCCTCATCCCCATCAACAGGTTGCATTTTAGAAAGTGGAGAGCACAGACAGTTTCCTTCTTGTTGGATAAAAATGCTGAGAGAAACACCCAATATGCAGTTTAAAGACACACGCCTGAGCAGAGAGGTAAAACACTCACTTGTTGTGTGTTTCCCTGAGGAAGTGAGGGAGACGTTTGGTGGAGTCCAAGTCTTCTGCAGACCTACAGTGAATGGTGACGAGAGGAGACGGCAGCGTTAATCATTCAGACCTGACACCATGTGATCGGGCTGATTCATTATTCAACACCTGAGGCTGAGCAGGCGTGTGTGTGTGTAGCTGTCATCATTCATTGATAGGAGCGAGGATGGGAGTTTTTGTGTGCAGGGCTGGGAACTGACCAGGTGTGTGGGTGTGTGTTTTGGGAGCAGGTGTGTAATAGAAAGTTGCCTCAGTTTTTTCTACCCGCAGGAGTAGTTTAGACTGGCATGAATCTTTATACCCAGCTGACGTAAGTTAACAAAACATAATTCTTAAACTCAAGGTCCACTTAATAGCCTTTTTTTCTTTTTTGGAGTTTGCTCTGTTGTCTTGGAGAAGGATGTGTTGCACTGTGAGGGCCTCTCTTCTGGTTTATTAACAGGAACAAGATGAATAGAACATGAACAGACCGTAAATAGAATAGTATGTCTGGTGTATTATTATTTTAAAATAAACTATTTTATATTTTGGAGGCTGTTTTCACAGGTCAAGTGCCCTTGAGCTCGCCATATCTAGTGGAAGTGGACATTCATTTCACAGTCGTCCTCCTGTCAATCAAACACATTAAAGCTAATGGATGATATCAGATCTTCTGCACACTGAAACACAAAATAAAGCACAAAATCAAACTTTTCCAAAGTGTACACACTGTATGTTTGCTGGCTGTATGCATGTGTTGCATTGTTGTTGGTATCTGCTGGTAATCTGATGCACAGAGTCAGATTACAGCTTTATCTGCAGACACGGTAACATGAGGGTCTAAAACAGGAGGAACAAGACACTCGACTGCGGTCTACACAAGCTGGTTCACAGGACAGTTTTAGGGAACGCTCCTTCCCTCTTGACCTGCACCTGCTGTGTCTCATCACGAAAACGTTCAGCACCTTCGGTTAAATCAAAAGGCCGCTCTGTTCTCCTGCAGAAGCTGCTTTAACCATCTACTCCCATATTTATACTTTCACATTCATTCACTCTAAAGGCTGAGTTTGGGAGCCCGACCCTCCAGCGCCACCCTGATATGTGAAAAGGCAGTAAGGCGAGTTGAGTTTTATACAGAGTCAGTTCCCGGAGGAGCTCATCTCACCACCAGAAACACAAACTCATCTCTTTGTGGTTCTGATGCTGTGATTTGGAAAATACCTGAAAACCAAATATTAGAAGGTGTCATACATACATTTTTGTCATACTGCACATTGCTGCTCCTCTTTTCACCCTGTGTTGAACACTCCGTTTTAACTATGGAGTGATACATCTTGTCTCTAAATGATCTTTGTTGGGAGTTTCATCCCTGTGACGTCACAGGGATGAAAGAGAAGCGGCTGGACTACAAACGAGCTGTTTTCAGGCAGTTCAGAGCAGAGTTTTTGGGGGATTGCAAACCTATTACATGCACAAAAAAGATATATAACTCAATAAGGAGAGGAGAAAAGCCAAAAAGCATAATATGACCTCTTTAAAATGAAAAGAGCGTCATACAACTGTGGTAACAGTAAAAAATAATAATAATTTAGAAATAGAACAGCACAGTAGTTTTTAAAAAGCTATGTTTTAAGAAGTGATTTAAAAGACGTTACTTCAGGTTCTCAGGCAGGGAGTTCCAGATACGAGGGGCCCAGACTGCAAAAGCCCGGTCACCTTTAGACAAGGGCGTCACTTTGTGTTGAAAAGTGGGGACATAGGGGCTCAGATTAGGGGTGTGAAGAGACACTTAGCTCATCACAATATGCGATATAAGGTTCACCAGAACGAGACGAAAAGATCTTAGAGATATGGTCAACGCCGAGCTATATTTTTATCTTTATAACCCTTCATTTCCTGAATTCTGGTGAAAGTTTCTGCACCAACTTATGGTGGAAATGTTTTTATTTATGTAAAAGTAAACACAAAATTCAGGTGGCAGGTTTAAAATGTATAAATATAATAGAATCTATGTCAGTGCAGCTCTCAGTCGTTCTGTGCCGCTTTAACATTTGTTTCTCCTGTAGATCAATTTTTGCATTACATGTTTCCTTAACGTGCAAATAAACTTTTCTAAAAGGCATTTTTATTACATTATTTATCTGTGTGCTTTCTGAATGTGTGACTGTAAACTGCCGAGCGTCTGTATGTTACAAAATAATAACTGTGAGTCTTTGTTGACAGCAGAGCAGCTGAAGGTGGACGCATTCCTGAGGCTACGAGCTTTATACGCAACAGATGAGCGAATGGGAGAGAATCCAGAGAGAAACATACACAGACAGAGAACGAGCAAATCAAAACATCCTTCTCCCATATAACGAGATGACCAAACCAAACCAAAAATGTATATAAAGTAGACGGGTTGGTAAATAAAAAGTCATAGAAATTAAAATAATTTTACATAACAGTCTTTTTGCCAAGCTGAAACACGTGCCTGGAGTTTTCTGACCATTGACTCAAAGATAAATATTTTTCTACGGATGCGTTGGAAAGTGAAATGTGAACACCTCATGAGATATCTCGTTAGCATTCAACAACTACATCTCCCATGAGGCACTGAGGGCTAAGACTCATGGGATGAGTGTGTGACTTAGGGGTTGAAAAACCAGTTTAAATATTGTGCTTCTGGCTCCTTTTGAAGGATATTAATGATTTTACACACCCACAACTGCTGAGCCTGTGATTACCGTGAACTCATCTTTAAGGGATTTCCAAAGAACCCAGATGTGAATTAAATTCTTTTATTTTATTGGTGGGGCTTATTTTACTTGGCTTAGATTGGTTTTCTGTTGTTCAGTTTGCTTTGTTGACCTGTTCCTTGTGGATTTACTATACTGCGTTGCAATGCATTATGCTGATCTATTAGTTCAGTTGAGATGAGTGTATCAGGGTTATATTTCTCATGTTGGACTTCAGATATTTTATAAGAGAAAGCACTGGTTACAAACTGGAGGTTTTAAAAACACGTGGGTATTTAAGAGGCAGGGTCTGACGCCTTTGAGCTGAACCCCCAACTTTATTTATTCTTTGACAAGCAACAGTTTCCTTTTCAGTTTCTGGGTATGAAAGTTCAGTATTAGTGTTGTGTGTGGAGAGCTGTGTGTGGTTATAAGACAGTCACTGATCCTGAGGAAACTTCAGGATTTCATGTTGAATCAGACAAAATTAGACTAATTCATCCAACTGAATCACTTTTAAGACCTGAAGTTTGAGACATTTCAGAGGTTTCAGGACCTGCAGACATCCAGTTTAACACAAAACCACCTTCACAACTTGCCAAATTAAAAACATAGAAAAGGTATTATAAAGTGAATAAAGAATACAGAGCAGCTGTTACCGGCCAACAGTGTGAAGCTGCATCACTTTCATCTGATGCTCTTTAGAAAGTCAGCATGCAAGTGGAAAAAAAGCATCTACGGCGCCACCTGGTGTGCATTTAGGAGGCATTTCTCTTATTTAGTCTAACCAAGCTGAGAAAAGGGGTGGACAAAATAACGGAAACACCTATCAGTATTAACGAAATACAGCAGCACCGAAAATTATTGTACGGTTGACACCCTGTCTGTCTAAAACTTTAAAGTAAGTTTATCGCAGCACCTCTGGATTAGACTGCAGTTACCAAATAAACAGGAAACAGAGCGAATGATTAACCACTAACCACTTTAGTCAATGTGATTAAGCAAGAAGAGAATTCATTTCTCAAAAAGCAAAATCTCTTTGCCTTAAAGAAAATGTTTGACAAAAATACCTTCTTCACTCACATGAGATGATTTAGATGGTTATAAAAATTTGCTAAACAAAAGAGACTTTGTGTAATGAATCTAGAATATATTAAATATTTTGAATTAAATTACGGAAAACAAACTTTTCCATGATATTCTTTTTTGTTTTTCGATGCACCTGTGTGCTCATACTGTACTAAAGCGTTTTGACACACTTGTCCCTGATAAAAGACATCTCAATACACCAGAGTAAACCACTCTGAGGGAATTATGCTTCCTGTCGACACTCCTGCAACATACTCAGGTGTGCAGAGTTATTTGGGAAGAATAAAACACACGAGAGATTATAAAGTTCTTTTTCCACATTTATTCTCCTGCTCCAGCTGCTGACACACATGCAGCCGTTTACTCGTCTGCGTCCGACTCCTCCTCGTCGTCCTGACTGATCTGGAAGTAACGCAGCTCGTACGTCTCCTTGTCAGACGCCACCACTCTCAGCCAGTCACGGAGGTTGTTCTTCTTCAGGTACTTCTTCGTTAGGTACTTGAGATACCTACGGAGAGGAGGGGTTGCTTCGTGTCAGAAAGTATTATTCCTGGTAAACACTTGAAGGTACTTGGATCTGGTTTCCATTTTTGATGCGGACCATCTCAGCTCACCTTTTGGAGAACTGCTTCTCAGACGAGACGTTGATCTTGTTCTTCATGCGGCCGACCTGGACGATGTTTCCCAGGTTCCCCGTCTTTCCGTTGACCTTTATCCTCTCTTTGAGGAAGGTTTCCTGTGGGACAGAGCACGATGACACACTAGGGAAGGTAACCCTAGCAAATTGGAAGCTAGGGAAGGGAGCCCTAGTCCAGACACGGGGTTAGCTGCTTGTAAAGTGCACTAAATTAACCCTTTCATGATCTCAAAGAAAAGCTTATGGTCCCATAAATAATTACGATTATAGCGGCAACACAAAGTTATATTGGGTTTCTAATGTTTCAACAATTAAAAATTTCTAACCAAAGTCCATGACACTAACGGTTTAACAAACACAGCAAGACTTACAAAGTTTGCAGAGTCCAGGATCCCATCCTCCACAGGGTGGGTCAGGTCCAAGGTGAACTTCCATCCGGCTCCCTTTTTGGACTTCTTGCCAACAGTCGGCCTCTTCGGTTTGATCTGAGGTAAAAAATAAAAATTAGTTTGAACGGTCACCTTACTGGTTTTAACTTCTGTGACTAGAGCTGCTATGATTAGTCGATTAGTTCTCAACTAGTAAATTATCGACAACTTGATTCTCTGATTTCAGCATCTTAAATGTGAATGTTTTCTGGTTCTTTATTCTTCTATGACAGTAAACTATCTTTGGGTTGTAGACAAGACATTTGAGGATGTAGTTTTAGGCTTTGGGAAACACTGATCGCCGTTTTTCCACAAATTTCTCGACCTAATAACTAATCAAGAAAATAAATTACTGATTACTCCATAATGAAAATAACCGTTATGTTCAGCTCCACCTGTGACAATTAGTCATCTAATGTCCACCAACACAGCATGTTAATGCAAAGTATTCATTTCAGAATACATCTTTCAGATAAGTGTCCCTAAAATATCTGCAATATAAACAACTTCCTCAGTCTTCATTTGTACTCTTTATCGACTGGTGTCCTTCAGTAGCTCTTCTCTTGATTTAAAGGTCTAGTCTAGTAAATCTCGATGTGCTAAATGTAATCTCAAATTAAAACTTAACATATTTTGTGAAATAGCTACTCTATCAACAGACACGTTGCTTGTTAACATAATTAGATAAGTGCCTTACATAAGTTACTGAGCTGTAACAAGGTCTTGGCAGAGGATACATTACACATACACTCGATTTAAAATAAGAGTAAACGAAATGAAAAAAATCTCCATTAAAACATGTCAACTGACCACAACTATTAAAAATGAACAGTAGTGCTTTGTCAATTGTAATTGTTACAAAAAGTGACGAGTAAACTGAATTTCAAAGTGAAATTAGTATCTGCTAAATGAATTTGCGTTTAGAAATTTAACAAATCAGCCTTCAGTCATGTGACAGCATTCCTACTTTTTACTTAACTATTATGTAACTATTATAAGGACAGCTAATATAAAAGTCACGCCGAACTATCTAATGGACATTAGACTACATGTAGACTGACAGTACACATCAACTTTACCAGTTATTGGACTAAACCCACTGATATAAAATAAAGCACAGTTTATTCTATGGAGATTGGCTCTTACGGACCGATGAATGGAACACGTGGAAGCAAACGGCAAAACTACTACGAGCTAATGCTAACTCTGCTAGCTTCAGCTTCCTGCCCTATAAACCCGCTCAAGCTCTCAACTTTACTTCCAACACTTTTTGTTTTAGTACATAATGAGCCATTAAAACTGTAGAAACACAAATGAATTAACACAAAATAGCGTAAGTCCCGAAGGAGCTGCCTGGACTTACCGGCGCCATGTTGAGAGATCGGACGGGAAAGGGAGACCCGGATCTGACGCAGCCGTGACGTAGTCCGTGCAGCGTAGCACGCCCTTTCCAAATATGGCCAACAAGCAGAAATAAACATTTCCACACATGACTCTGGAAAATGGCTCGTCTCGTGCAGAGATTCTTCCGGTTCCCTTTATTTCAAATACCTAAAACTGCATTTAAATTTCACCAAATCTGAAAACAATAAAGACGTCAGCGTTGACGTTTCAGCAGCTGTTTGTGTCGGATGATGCGAGTCCAAAGGTCAAGTACAGCCCGAATATAAAGCTGCCGAGCCTGGTCAATCATTGAAAATAAAATGCCTCCCGATGACTCAGAGAAACCGCGACTGGGTAGGAGACAAAAACTAAAACATGCTTCCTTTTTTCCACTGCGGGGCCACTCGTGGCTCAGTGTGCAGACAGACACACAAAGTGCACATCAGCCTTCAGTCGGGCTGCACAAGAGGAGAAACGCTGCCTACATCCTGGAACTATTGTTCTGTTAGTTTCAGTCACTTTGAGTACCAGACAATCATCTGTTGCCTTCAACTTTCACGCACAGAGACAGATTAAGAAGATCTTTTATGTCCTGAGCAGTTCTTTCGCCCTCAAATATGCAGACAGGACAATTTTCTGTATGTAAATAAACTGTATTTTAACAGCCCCGTTTTTATTATATATCTCAGGAAGGAGTTGTTGATTTTTCCTCTCAACACAAATATGTTTATATATTAAACTATATACTTTTGACCTACTTTAGTTCGTTCATGTAATTCCTGGTTGTGAATCACTTGGCTCGCTTTTTCCAGTCTAACCTTCACCTCAAGTGTCCTTTGATGGGATTTTTATGACATTTTCCACTGGGTGCTGCAGTGTGTGGATCTTCTGACATACTGAAGTGCAGGTGCTGTTTGCACTTCGCAGAGAAAGACGAAACATAACCTTATTTTGACCCCCTATTGAGTTTGAACTCTAGTAGCCTATATCAACATTTGAACCACCATCAGTCCTTTGGTTAAGGCATTTGACCCATATTTTAACTTTTGAGACTTTACCTCGTGAACATCTGAAAGCAGGACTTCTTTCAGCATTTTGATCTCTCTAAAGGAAATTATTACTTCTGCAGGGTAGAAAAGAAGTACCTTGAAAAAGTAGAAACTTACGTTGTATCAAACGGGCTCCAGCTTTTTATTCAAATTATTCTAGATTACAACCTGAAGTTTCTCACAGCATCGTCAGCAAATTAACAGATCGAACTACTAAAAGTTGTACTTTTTTTTGAAAGGAAATACTTCACCTCATTCACACTATGGACACTCAAGCCTCTAACACTAAAGTGTATTTATCTGCTTTTAAATTGCTGTTTTTTTAGTTTAAAACTGACTCTGTAACGTGCACACAAGAATTCTAATGTACCTGCACAAATGGCAAATAAATCTATTCCAGCATTTGACCACGTGCTTCATCGATCACTGCATGAGAGCTTAAACTCATCATGTGACCGGGTATATTACAGACAGAAAACCAGACAGACATAGTTTGCAGTTTTTGTCCATTTGTTTCGTTTTATTTTTGCCATCTCCAGTCAGGTGACAAAGGCCTCGAGTGAACAAAGAGTTTGCAACTCTACCACCCTCCCCAACCCGATCGAGTCCCTCAAAAAGAAACACACGCCTCACTGCAAACTGCCTCCCACATATCGGAGGCCCACACCGCTTCACACTCACGCCTCTCAAAACAAAAACATAACACTCCTTTTGTATTTTTGGGGGGGGGGATGGCCGGGGCAGCGGGGTGAGCCCTGGACTGCCTCGGTGGACGAGAGGCGTGAGCGCACAGGACCCTCACGCTCCCTCAAATTTCTACACAGACAAGAGACTGGCACCACAAGGGTAAATCACTGAAGTTTGTTTCTGTTCTTCTTGGGGGGGGGGGGAGAAAGGTGGTGGTGGTGGGGGGGGGGACAAACAAAAAAAACACTTCTCTTTTCTTGGGTTTAGAGCTTTGACATGCTGGGACTTCAAGTGCTCTTAAGCGCTAGCCGCCACCACCAATCCCAGCGAATTAGGAGAAAGTGGACCTCGTCAGTCCCCTCGGGAAACCGAGCAAAGGCCTTAGTGGAAAGCTGTATGGCTGCTAGAGGGACGACCTAAATCAGAATTTAGTTATCTACAGGGGCAACCCTCCCTCCCCTCTGCTTTAACAACTCAAAAACTGCCCCCCCTCCCCTTCCCTTCCCTCTAAAAGGCTTTAGACCTGCTATATTCAAGAATATAAAAAAAAAATAATCATACAAAAGCTGAATCCCGTTGTTATTTAAACATTCAGGAATGTGAGTGGCAAAACTAACACTTTGAAGGCAAAAATACGCAGGAATGAGCAACCGATCATTATTTTTGAAGTTATTTTATATATAAAGTAGACTGTTGCCAAACAAAACCTCAGCGATCGGGCAGAGGACCACGCAGCGAGAGCTGCAGCGGACCTTTCCCCAACAGCAAATGGAAAAGAGAAACGAAAAGGGGAGAAAAAAAAAAAAAAAAAAAAAAAGGATCAATGAGAGAAATCACAACAGAATGTTTGAGGTTGTCTGTGAAGGCCGACGCTTTGGTGACAGAACCAATGAGAATGCAAGAGACTGGTTGTGGGTGGTGCTTGTTGCCTGGGCAGCAAAGTCCGTCTCCCTATTTGTTGGCCAACACCTTGGTAGCGACAGCACATTCCTCCCCCATGGCAGAAATCACAGTGACCTGCAGAGAGCACACACACGACATGTCAAACTTTACTGATGCAGCCCCCCCGCAGATGGCAGTCATGTTCTCACTGCGGCCAACAATGTCAAGAATTTGCATATCGTCATTGACATCTTTCAGATTTTGGAGTCAGGCTTCTAAAACATGACTCAAAACGCTTCCAGCTGGGGCTGGACGATATGGCCAGAGATGTTCTCATGATAAAAAGTTTCTTCAGTGTAACAAAAAGGATCTCTACACGTACCATGAACTCATCACCGGCTTCAAACTTTGACTCGATTTCCTTGCCGACCTCGCTTTCGGGGACACGCAGGTCCTCCCTGATGTCTCCGTTGTCGCTCATCAAGGACATGTAGCCTTCATTGATGTTAACCAACTGGGAAGACAAGAGGCAACGTTTACATGAACAACGCTGCTACTGTTACATTACAGAATTTACTGGGGAGCATTTCCACGTTAATGACTTCAGTATAATTGTCCTCCAGCAGTCAACATCTTACCAGTTCTGTCTGAGCACGAGTAGATTCGCAAACAACTCAGATAGTAAAATGACAAAAAACTGGCATATTTCACACGTCCTGCTTTGACTATGCTTACATCACTTACAGGCTTTTCATGGATAAGTAGTCACAAGTGCTGGTTACATATAATGTTTCTTCTTCACACTGGAATATTGTAAGATAATGCTGAGAGCGTGAGGGGAAAAACTTGATCACAAGCAGTTTAAAAAGTACCGGGAACTGCTGATATTAATCCAACACCCACTGACTGGGAAAACGCACCCATAGCTCCTGAGCTCCAACCCGACGCCAGAGAGCTCAGAGAAGCCAGCAGCCACATGTACTTTCTAATGAGTTATGCATTCTTTAGGTTTCACTCTAGTGTGATAGAAAGTTTGGCCGGCCTGCGTACCTGGTAGTCTATCCTCTTGATGGAAGGGACATCCATGTTGTGGGTGGAGGGGCACATATCTTCATGCTTCTTGTTGGTGAAGATGTCGATGCCAACCAGGTTAACCTGCGGAGGACAGTTTGGTTCAGTACACAGTGATTTAAGTATTCAAACCTGCAGAGCTGAACTTCTGTCTCCCCCGTCTGACAGTGAGAGTAACCACACTGTCGTATGAGCTCTGACATACTGAACTGATGTCGCTACGTCGATCCCGTTTGCAGCTCCGGCAAACAAAATCACTGCTGGCGGCCATAAACACACCAGAGCAGGACGCCGCTTTTTAAAACTCTGGTGTACTGCGATTACAGACAGATGTCGTGGCTTAGGGCTGCACAATTAATCAAACTGATCGCGATTACGATTTTAGCTTCCCAACATATGAACAACATGATCGAGTGCGATATAAACCGAGTGCTCCGCTCATGGAAAACACCGCTGCACGTTCAAGCGCTTCTTAAATTTGGCTGTGTGTGCACTCTCGTGCTGCTTCTGTACAGAGTAGACAGCAAAGTCCACAAATCTGCGTGCTGCCGGAACTGGTTGTGGCCCTTCTAGTCAATGCTTGGGAGTCCATCAGACAGCGTGTGCGCCAGATGTAGCTTTCAGCTCCGCGAAGAACACGCTCAACACGCAAGTTTATTTTTGACGGAAGCCGCATCAAGCTGCACAGAGCAGATCGAACTGGGCAGGAAGTCCGACACAGAACAGCATCGAGAAGCAAAATTAAAAACACCTACGGTTAAAAACCAGACAGAACCTATTTATCTGCATAGCCTACTTAATCATAGAAGCAGCATTTATTACCAAATCAACAAAATCTTGTTATATTTTGCTTCTAGATGATGCACTTTAATGACGAGTCTCATTTTGATGCAAAGATTTGTACATTAGCAGAAACGCAGCACATCATGGATGTGAAAGCAGCTGCCTGGTTAAATTCGAGAGTGCAATAAAAATACATTGTCCCGAAAATCCATGAATAATCGGGATCTCAATCTAGACCAAAACACTCGTGATAATTATGTTGGCCATAGTCGTGCAGCACTGTGTGAACTCGTTTGGTGAGGGCTTTCATAACCTTAGTTTACCTGTAAAAGTCAAGTGCAGGTAACAAAAGACAAAATATGGAGTTCCTGGAAGCAGCACTAACAAATCACAAAATTACAACATGGTGCAAAACTGTAAACCACCAACGGTCATGTAATTATGCACCGTCAGCAGTCAGTGTCAGACAGCATTTTTGAATTAGGGATTTTTTTTTATGTGAAAGGAATTTCTAAAGACTTTAATTTACGCCAGGTCATAACTAATGTATTTATTTATTTATTTAACAGGGACAGTGCTTATTAAGAAACATTGCTGCAAAGGTGGCGGTTAGCCAAGAGGCTCTTTTCATCTGCAGTCCCTGAACACATCATAAACCCATGAATGTAACCCCTCTGCCTCGATTTACTGAGCAGCTGTAACGGGATTCTGTATTTTAATCACTAAATAAAGTCTAACTTTTAAGATGTTCAGCCACAAAAGGTCAGATTACACGTGGGGGCGTCCCAGTGTTTCAACAAAAAGATAATGAGCCCGTGCATCACTTCAGGCAGCTGAGATCAGACTGAAATTTGAGCTCCTCAACTCCGAGCTGAGCCAGCGGTCTCCGACAAGTACACTTGACAGCGATTGCATTCTTTCCTTTCAGAAACTCTGGGACTTGGCTGTGCCTTCTCAGTCTGAAGGGGCTACATCACCCAACTTCAAGGATCATTTTACCTTGGCATGTCCGTGCTTGCCGGTCTTGGAGGTGGACATCTCCACAATTTTGCATGGACGTCCCTTCAGCACCACATAGCCGTTCTTACGCAGAGCAGAGCACTGCATGGGGTAGGTGGCGGAGGCGCCAGACTCGCCAGTCTGGAAGTCAAGATCGGGATCTGCCATGGTGCGATGGGTCAGGGGCACTGAAAAAGATTTACAGATCATTTACTTCACTGTGATGTTTTCCTCAACACCATGAAATCCACAACTGAAAATATCCCAACCGATACACGACCAGTGAGCAATTCTTGCTTTGCTAAAACATAAAAAGCCCTGCTGTTTTAGTTTACAAGAACTACAGTAATCAAACTACTTTGAGTGGACTTGGGGCCGAGGGCCAGAGACGGGATGGGCTAGTCAGAAGGTACTGAGAAACATCATGTTTTGGTCACTTTATTGGAGAGTTGTCTGTTTTACTAAAAGAAAAACATACAGTATGTAGGAGCAACCAGTACTAACTGTAGCCGCTGTTAACGAGCTAGCTCAGTTAGCCGCGCAGCCTGTTACTCGCTGACCCTGCCCAGACTGGGACTATGTAGCACCGGGAGTGGTATAGGAGCTGTGGACCGTCGGGGGGGGGGCCTGGGATGTGAGAGGGATGCAGCAGCCTCCCAGTTATCACAGCCGGACCTGGACCGAACACACAGGCTAGTTTTACGACAAGGAATACAGTACCGAGGTGAGTTACAGCGGCGCCGTCAAGGACTCTGACTCCGCGGACGACAAAGACAGGCTGGGTTGGGGAAAGGAGCGAGGGGAAAGCCGGGCACCAGTCAGCACCCACATCTGGAGCGGGAGTTACGGCTGCATCAGCCCCGAGGTGTCAGCAGGAAAACCACATTGGTGCTGAAGGACTAAAGGCAGACTGTGACTCACTATTGCCTCTTAAAGTACAAAGTGATGTTACAAGACCGCACAAGCCAAGGTGTTTACACAACAGCTGCCATAATTGTTTTTATCTTGATCAGTTATAATCAAGAAAGTGTGCCTGAAAGCAGAGTGAAAGAATCAACTACAATCAAAGCCTTTAAGGAGATGTAACAAAATGCCACCAAGATCTGTCCAAATAAACCCAATTTCAGGAGTGAAGTTTTGCGGTTTGATGGGCGCAAAGATCATCACTTATTAACAGACTGAAAACACCGTTCTACTTTTGTAATGTGCCTTAATTTCTATTTTATATTCATGACCTATGCAGCAGTAGTTCTTTGTTTTGAGTGGTATGCACCACAAACACTAAGACATTTCCTGACACGTGAAAACCTGCTAGGAAGTAAAACGGTTTCTGATTTCTAACTGGTTAAATACCAGTTAGCTGGCTCGTCCCTGCCGGAGACCCTCTGCAGCCTCTCCAGGGCGCACATTGTGCGGTCGGCTAAGGTTCTCAGACATCGCGAGATCTCGGGAAAAACGGCATCCTCATGATCCTGCTCCTCTGATTTAATAAAGTCAAAACTAGTAAAACACACAGACTCCAAATGTGGCAGCACCGACAACTTGTGCGGCTCACCACGAGGATGGACTTTAACTTTTTAACCACTACTTTTTTTGTTATTGTTGTTAACAGTAACTTTAAACTTCAACGTCTAAACCCAACATTAGCTATTTGGCTTGCAGCAACTAACAACGTTTAAGATAAAAACAAAGTCAGTATGACAATAAAAGCGAGTTATTTTAAATCATCTAAACTTATCTTGAAACAAGTTTGCCGGCATGGAGTTTACAAGTGCAACAGCGCCAGATAACGGTAAAGTTGTGCCAACATTAGCTGATGTTATCTTAAAGATTTTGGGTTTAAGCAACCTGTATCAGATTAACTAGCATTATTAGGAGACGCTTTCTGGTGCTGTGAGGTTACTTTGCGGGCCAAACACACGGCGCTGCTTCCCTAAAACCGCAAACTACCGTTTATCCGACTGCTAGCTAAGGCGATGCTAACGGCGGCTAGTCACGCTAGCGTTAGCTTCGTTCATTCAAGCTCCGTCCACATTAAAAGCAGGGACGTCAACGGTCGTGTTTATACGATCAATATTACAACGGCGACGACAACCAGACCGCGGGTTTTGAACGCGAGCAGCGGGGTTTTTACCGGAGAGCTTGACAAGCGACGTCCACCGACCGCGCCGCCGAAGGCCGCGTGTCCCTTTGATTAAAGCTGCAACATGGACACCCACACCCAGCCTCGAGACCCGTCCACATTTACCGGGAAATTAATAAAAAGTACTCCCCCCGACTTCTCAGACCGTCACGCAGCTACTTTAGTACCTCTCAATCCGTTATCGGTTAACTTATAAACCCGCCAAGTCCTCCGTTTATCGCCCCCAAGGCAGAAACACGCGCCATGCCACACTTACCTTCCAAGAAAAAGAGGACCGAAAGTGCGCAGGCGCGGCCAACTTTACTGCGGCATCCGTAGAGGAGGAAGGGAGGGGGCCCTTATGGCTTCCGGTCGGAGCCTCGCAGAAAGGGTTGCCAGGTCTGAGGCCCGTCAAACATGGCAACCCGTCAAGCCTGTGGTGCTCGGCGGAGAAGGTTGCAGGATGTACGGAGGCCGTGAAGTCTTGTAGGTTTTTACCTTCTGAGTTATAAAACGGCTACTCTAATCATTTGGTCTATAAAATGTCCAACATGCATCTTCAAATGTCTTGTTTTGTCTCTCCAACAGCCCCCAAACACAAAAGTATTCAGATTACAGTCATATAAAGCAGAGGAAATTTACCAAACATCACATTTTCCAATTTATTGGTATGTTTTGCTTTTAAAATAACTTACAAATTACCTAAACGATTTTCTAATCGACTAATTCATTAATCAGCATAACTCAACCACTCAAATTGTTTAATAATGGCCTAATAGATCAATATTGATAACGGATAATAATTAATCGGGCAAAAATGCAGCTCTTAAACTGTCTGACTAGAAGGTTTTATTCACAGAAGAAGGATTATCTGTATAACATTAGTCCCTATTTCAGATGTGATGGGGTCTAGGTTTAAGTTATCCAAATACTGTACTACTCTTAAGTTAAACCTGCTTTATAAAACAAAACTTTTAATGAACTGCAGGGAAGTGAGAGTGAAAAAGGACGGAAGAACAATGCAATAAAAATGATTTCCCCTCCCTGTTCTGTTGTTAGTTTGTTTGGTACCAAAGTGGTTGTATGTGCTATAAAATCAGTAAGAGGAAAAACTCTTAAGAACTTAAGAAAACTGTGGAAAACAAGGCAGCAGCAAACAAATTGTTTACAAGAAATGATGAATTCCTCCTGCTGGACATCACCTTCTTTTGTTTTTTGTTATTTCCATAGTTTTGGAAAGCTTCTCAACATATATATTTATAACATGCACTGTATTAGATGCCATGTAATGTTTTCGTAGTCCATAAAGCATTTTCTAGATGAAGACAGGCACTTATTGTCATTAAAACAGTTTAGAAAATAGGAATTAAAAACCTAGAAAAAACATCTTCTCCAAAGATCAGACAAGGTAAAACGTATCATATACCCCTCCACCCCCCCAAAAAAATCACATCATAAAAGACACATTGTTCAAGATGCAAACAAGTAAAACAAACAAAATCAAATTATGCATAATGAGTCGAGTTAACAAGTAAATGTTGAGTAATAAAGAGTGATGGAATAACATTAAAAATAACTTGGATGGATAATAACTGGATGTCTTGGATGACACGCCTCTTCAACATTGCGTGGAAGTCGAGGACAGTGCCCAAGGAGCGGCAGACCGGTCCCCTTTAAGGGCTATCGCGAGAGCTGTGGACAGATTCTCGGCAGTAAGTCAGACCGGTTCCAGGTGGGGGTTGGCCTCCGCCAGGGCTGGACAAGATATCGAGGTGTAGTTGGGGTGGGGAGTTGTTGCGGTTTGGTGGGCTGGGGATCTCGTCGCTGCCTTTTGCAGATGATGTGGTGCTGTTGGCATTGTCACTCCGTGACCTTCAGAACTCACTGGATTGGTTCAGCCGAGTGTTAAGCGGCTGGGATGAGGATTAGCACCTCTAAATCTGAGGCCATAGGAAACCGATGGGAGGGAATGAGTCCTTTTCCCAAGTGAGGCAGTTCAAGTACCTCGGGGTCTTGTTCGCGAGTGAGAGAGTTGGAGCAGCAGGGGCAACCACTAATGAAAATTTCACCTTGTTTTGTGTGTTAATACAACAGTACAATGCTTCACTTTTGGGATATATTGTGTAAAATATTGGTTTATTGATAATATTTTAATATATTTAAAATACAACATATAAGACTCTGTCATGGATTGAAAATTAAAGTTGTGGACTTCCACGGTTGCCCCTTGTGTTTTCGTGGTCCATCGACCATGTTACAAGATTCACATCTTAGAACTATTAAAAAATAGGAACACTTGAGAACATTTCTGAGGGTAAACGAGGTATCATAGACAACCCCCAAAAGACATTACACCATAAAAGACAATTCAAGATGCAAATATAAAGAGCATAAAGCTTTAAGCACATTAAGTAACTGCGTCAACCAAATTAGAGTTTTAAAGAAAAGGATAATAATGGGAGTAAATATCGTAATAAAAAGGAAGTTTCCTTCCTCATCCTACACCTTATGTTGTTGGTTGAGCTTTGGAGGTGGTCGTGTGTTCTTGCAGTAAAGCAGACAGTGCAAAGTTGAAGTTTATAATTCTTATTAGTTCTCTCACTGCTTTGCTTAACATTAATGAAAATATATGGGAAAAGTAGGATTTGTTTGATGATATAATACCTCACTATGGCTTACTGAGTGAAAGTAATGTTGCAAGTAATTACCTTTTCAATAGTTATTTTAAGTTAATCATTCATTTTGTAAAGTTACAACACATCACAAGTAACTAAAGTTTGTGATGTCTTCCTGAATTAGTTAGTAGTAGTTTATTGTACTTGCTTATTTCTGAAACATCTGATATTTTTTTGGGATGGATTTCCATGAAAGTAGGTTCAGATACCCCTTAAAACGCACTGCAACGACTTTCAGATGATCTTTTAACTTTACATGCAGGTCCATTTTTTTAATCTTCCAAATACTAAATACCCGCAGATCTAATGTTATTCACATTCCCATCTACCTCAGCGGCACTGTTTTTTCCTGAACAGCAAATGTCAGCATGCTAACACGACAACATGAACCTGCTTAGCATCAACACATTAACAGTGTCATTGTGAGCGTTAGCATGCTGACATTAGCATCTAGCTCAAAGCAGTGCTGAGGCCACGAACAGCCTCACACAGCTGCTAGCATAGACTTTTAGTCTTGCTACTTTATTACTAACTAATGAAGTGATCTCTTTCATGATCTATTGATTAACTAAATTTAGCACTGATGTTTGACAGATTCTTAAAAATAAAGAAAAGCACCCTACTGATAACTGTTGAAGTGAGTTTAAGTGTAAGAGAGTGCGTCTTTCATCCTGTCGACACAAGAACTCTGTCGTACAAATCAAGTGTAAAGAAAGCGAGTGGGGCAGGTGGTGTTGCTGTACAAGGAGAGGACATTTATTGTAGAATTTCCAACATCACAGATGTGCGTTACCAGATTGAGGTCGTCTTTTGACTGATTCCAGTGATTCAGACATGGTGAAAACATACACTCACATGCATGTCACACACCTGTGCACACACCTGCTCACCTACACACTCAAACACACACACACACACACTCACAGCCTGACAGCCGTACATACGTTCACAGTCTTGATACGTACAAAAATTGAAATACAAATACAAATAAAACCACAATAAAAACATTGTATTTTTTTTTTTTAGAAATTCTTATAGCTATGTTCTCTATTCTGTAGAAAGACAACTAAGCTTTGATAAGTGAACATTATTTTTTTGTCTTTCCCTAAAATGATCAGTAAGATATCATCATAACAAAAAGTTCTTACAGTATATATATCTTTTTATCTATGGTTTCTCAAACCGACCCTGCCTCCTGACCTTTATTCACAGGGTGTTGATTAATGCTAACATCCTGCACATGTAAAAGGCTTCAGCTGGCCTTAAAGCGGCATCACTTACACCCGTCGCATCCTTTAAGACCAATGAAAAATAAAAGAAAATCAAGTAAAAGATGAACCACTCTCCTCTCTCGCAGCCTGATCACAATCCCCAAAACATCAGCGTTTCCAGAGACCATCTTCAAAAAAATAGAAAACGTCATCCAAAGTGATGCAAAGCCCCGTCTTGCTCGCTCTTTATAGCCTGAACAAAATGTCTAAAATATAGATTTAATGGTAAATGTGTAATTATCCAGTGTACAATCTTGATTTATCTGATTTATATGCTAGGCTAAGTTAAAACTTTCAATTTACAGCTCAGTGTTGTGAGAAAAATGCTTTTGAACTCACGTAGAAAGTTTGAGTCTGACAGCCAAGTGTCTACAGTCAGGCCAGTCAGCGTATTGCCTTAAACTTACAATTCATAACAAGTGATGACAGATAAAACATGTATGTCTCCATGCAAAATGCACAACTAAATAAACAGCGATGAATTACAGAGAGAAAGAGTAAACTCGGAGTTAAAACCCAAACCAAACTTTTTTGTAAGTCTTCGCTCGGCTCGTTGGTCAGAAACAATAAAACTCCCATCTGAGAGAAAGTACAAGAACGGACAGATTTACAGAGGTGTGACAAAAAAAGAAAGAAAGCGAGACCGTTTTTTTTTTCTTCAGTGTTCTCACCTGCTTTGTAAAGTCAGTCCTTAACATCAAAGTGAGTATTTACACAGGTGCAGTGTACACAGAACAGCAAGGGCAGAAAAGGGTGGAGAGAACAAAGGGCAGCGAAGGAAGAAACCTCCAGAAGTTGGCAACTACTCTACGCCAAGTTCTTCTTGTGAGAAACAATGTGAAGATTCTGTTATTGTGTTGCTGTTGCAGCAATTATACAATATCTACAACCTTCCTTTCCTTACCAGAAACATACCAGGACAAAGTAGCCAGAGTGGCTGAAACCAACTGTGCAGCATCCTCAGTGACAAATGGAAAATGTCTCGTTTTTGTGACACTAACAGCTTGTTTGCAGTTTTTCTCTCTTCTAACGGGGAAGAGAGTTAAAAGGTGTTTCAGCAGCAGCACTCAAAATGAGTGTTCACACTGTGAGCAACACCGTCATCAAGTCACAGCAGGTCCTTTCATTTCCTACAGATACAGCAATGATCAGGAAACAGCAAGCGTGTCGGCCACAGCTGAAATTTCAAGTTCAACGGATTCTGACGTAGACCCGTCTGATTTTTGCTTTTACGAAGAAAGCGTCTGACAACGCAGAGAAGACACCCTTGAGTTTTTGCTACAAGATTTTAGTCTACAAAACATCCACTGATATTCAGTTGACCAGTCATCACCACCAGAAGTGGTTTAGGTGATAACAATGAACAAGAACCATCATGTATATAATTTGAAGTCAACATTTGGCCAATAGCTCAGGTTAAAGGCTGATTGTCCACACTTTACCGGCTAAATTGGAAGAGTTTGAAAATTACATTTGTCCACGTTAGGTTGATTTTTGTAAAGACTTTAAACTTAAATGCCTCAACAATTGGAACATCTCTTTTAAAGGTGCCTATACATTGTGCAATAACAACAACGTTAGGAGTTCAGATAAAGTCTAATAGTCTTGGTCACAATTGGCCCTTTGCTAAGCCACTCCCCGAACACGTGGCTGGCCAATCACAGCGCAGTATAAGACTCTCTCTAACTGAGGTCCACTCTCCATTGACTCTAATGCAAAAAGAGTCATTTTCTAGCTTGCAGTAATAAACAGTGGCAGCGCCGTGCTAAAAGTCCGTCAGGTCCGACAGTTTGTCGTACTTAGCAACAGTAACTAAGGGGGGCGTGGCTTAGCGAAGGGTCAGTTAGTGCCAGACGGTAAGCATGTCAGGTTGTGTGATGAATGTCTGCTGAACTGTATCTCTAAAACGTAAATAAAAAACAAACAAAAAAGCGGATGCAAGTATCAATTTGCATCATCCACCTTGGGCAGGGGATCATAATATTTTGCAGAGTGATAACATTAGCTTGCCTGTGTATTCTGAGTCATGTCTTATTTCAGTTGGATGGTAGATGTGAGTCGTAGCAGCAGTCGCACTGTGGGAGTAATTCATTTGACGCAGGCTGCGGACGAAAGACTGAGATGTAGAACCATCGTTTGGATTTACGTCCAAAGATTTCACCACATTTTCTCTCACGATTGTCAACTTTCCTCCACAACAATCTGAAATCCCCCATTGCAGTTGACTGTCCTCGAAGTATCGACGAGGACCGACAAACAATTCCACTGGGCGTCACAGCCAACATTAACTTTACTGCCTTACTGGGATCTTTTCATCTTGTTAAAAGGGTTTTTGGGAGTTTTCCCTTTTCCGAATCGAGGGTCTAAGGACAGAGGGCGTGTTGTTGTTTTCCAAAGGCCCTTTCTTGTGTGTCCACAGTTAAACATTTGGTTAGAGTTTAATTATTTATCGACTTTGTGTTCAATAAGCTACATTTTTGGGAACCAGTGTGGACACAAGGTCAATTGGAGGCCAGCTTAGTGTAAATATACTGAGTTTCCTGATTTTAATTCAGCTCAAAAACTGTTGCATCCTCTATTTGGGTCAAAGACAAGCTCAAGTTCTTCTTCTGATGCTACCTTAACAGCCAGCAGTGATTTCTCACTACACCACAGCGCAGCAAAACATGCCTGGAGTCAGAACACCTGCATCCCCACCAACAAACAAGACGGCAAATTGTACTCGCAGTGTGAACACCCTGTAAGAAATCATTAATGTGCTACACAGAGAACTTCTCTGCAGCTCCCCATTCAGTCACACGGGGAAGTAAAAGGCTACTCGGCACGATGTCAGCGTCCTTAAAAGCCTGGATCCAAACTCTCAAGAACACCCATCAGCCCATTCGAACAGTCCACAGGGAAGGCGAAAGGCGTCACTGTCAGTTTGTGGAGTCACCTCTTTTCCAGCAGGCAGTGACACCATACACGGGGCCTTTAGCGACCCCTATAGTTGGAGGGTATCTATATCGGGGGACACGCTCCTGCGGTTTAACTCTTCCTCCAGTTGCTCAATTGTCTGTTCAGCAGCTTGTTGATGTCCTCTACAAACACACACACACTTTGTATTCACACACACACACATACACTGTCCTCCTCATCCCTCCGTCCCTCTCTCTGGACGTCAGAGTGAAGAAGAGGAGGGTTGTGGGTCGAAGGAGAAGGGTTACCAGTTCATCATGGAGCTTCTGTTGAGGGTCATGAAGAAGACTTGACTGCTGCCGCCGGAACGCACTGAGGCGAAGAAAACCTGGAGGAAGGAGGCGCGTTAGCTTGAACACCTGTCTCTCTCTATCGCCTTTTATTTAAAATCCCCAAGTGGCCACAGTGAAAATAATGCAGTTTATTTATTTACACCGAAGAAAAGGAAAAGAAAGATCCTTTACACAACGAGAACGAGACTTAAAATGATTTATTAGGACACAAAACGGTTATAAAAAAAAAAAAGAGTGCAAATCTTAGTGCAAGTCAAGCTTCGTTTTGTTTTTGTTGATGAATTACAGGATCTCACAAAAGTGAGTTCACCCCTCACATTTTTGTAAATATTTGATTATATCTTTTCATGTGACAACACTGAAGAAATGACACTTTGCTTCAATGTAAAGTAGTGAGTGTACAGCTTGTTTAACTGCTGTGACATTTTCACTTAGGGGTGTCCTCACTTTTGTTGCCAGCACTTTAGACATTAATGGCTGTGTGATGTGTTATTTTGAGGGGACAGCACATTTACACTGTTAAACAAGATGTACACTCACTAATTTACAAAAATGTGAGGGGTGCACTCACTTTTGTTGCCAGCACTTTAGACATTAATGGCTGTATGATGTGTTATTTTGAGGGGACAGCAGATTTACACTGTTATATAAGCTGTACACTAATCACATATTTACAAAAATGTGAGGGGTGCACTCACTTTTGTTGCCAGCACTTTAGACATTAATGGCTGTATGATGTGTTATTTTGAGGGGACAGCACATTTACACTGTTAAACAAGATGTACACTCACTAATTTACAAAAATGTGAGGGGTGTACTCACTTTTGTGAGATACTGTACATACCAGACACAACAGTATATCACATTAGTACATTTCTATCTATTCATTGTTTTTAAATAATTCATAAATGAGCTCTCTGGAGGTTTCATTTGAGAGAAACACAATCGTCCGGGTGTTCTCAGACTCACCTTGTCGTTCCTCTCGGACAGGAACTTCAGTCGCTGAGCTCGCTTGTGCATGAAAACTCCGTCGAGGTGTCCCGTTTCCACGGAGCGGATCTCAATGGCCTTCTCTCCCCAGCCCATGATCTGGTTGGAGTGGATGTAGGCTGCATGGAGAGGAGAGGGTATACATTCACACACACAAACACACAAACACACACACAGAGGGGGATTGGACAGGAGAAGACTCAGCACCAGTCTCACACCCAAGCCAGTCACACATCGAGGCCTCCTCTGCCTCACCTCCGGGAGATTATTGCAGCAGTTTCTGACTGACTTGAACGATCACGACCTCTGAGCTCTTCGGGGAAGAAGAAGCTTGGCGTTGGGAAAGATTTCCATTGATGCTTGATGCCAGTATTTGATTCAAATGGTCTGAACTCTGCATGCGAGCCGCAGCATTAGATAAAGTTGTGCGCACGCGACAGCTTGTCAAACAGCTTCAGTGACAAGGATGGCTTTTCAGTAGCTGCTTCACAATAAAATTCTTTCAGAGCTTCACTAGTGGAAAACTTTTAATCTGAAGCAACAGCAGCAGGAAATATTTGGTTGTATTAAGCAGCTTTTTAACAGCACGTGAAAGGAGAGCATATTAAAAAGGGAAATTTTTTAAAATGTGCTTTCTCTCATCAACAACACTGTAAACGTTGAGCCAATAAGTTTAGCACAATGAAAGTCAGCGGTAGAAGCCATCTTGTTTTGGCGCTATGTGGTTGTTAAACACGTTAATGCAAAATAATGACACCTTGCCGAGCCACGACTAAAAGATGCGAAGCCAAACCAGTGGAAAACGGTCAGCAGAGAGGGTCCAGCTGGCAAAGATGTACACCTTCCTCTGTCACAGAAATAAAGTCCACTAGAAGGTGCTTTTGTTTTTCCTCCCCGTGCAATGGGGAGCTGTGTTTTTGTTTTGTTTTATTCATTGCAGAGGAAGAGGATCGACCAGCGTGTGCGGAATAAAACGCTACGACGAAGCAGGTTTTACGTTTTGTATGGGGGGGGGGGGGGCTGAGGCCGGGCTTGGCTGTGAGAAACTCTGGTTTGACAGTAAAATACACACAAACATGTTAACAGGAGATGATGTCCACACGCAGACCACATACAGTAACTACCAGTGCTTCAGGACACAGACGCAGTCGGTCAAACATACAAGTTTAATCAGTCAAGATATTGTACACTGACATCTGAGAATTAGAGAGTGAAGACTTTGATCGACTCGGATCACAAGATCCAAGATCCATCCTTGATGTGCTAGAGTCTGCTCGGGTTTCCTCTTCGTGTGGTTTGTTTGAGTGTGCTAATAAATAATAGATTCATTTTGGTGCACTGCACTCTGCTATGATCTCAGGCAAAATTTGGATCTCACATTTAGTCTGCTGAATCTCACAAATGTGTTGTTTGGGTTATTTTAGAGCTCATGCAATCAAGGATGAAAGTAAGAATGGATTCCTTCATTGAAACTTTACACAGTCGCACAGAACAAGAGGACAGAACTCAACACAGCGGACAAACGACACACAAGCATTTCCCCCAGTGCACAGGAAAAAAAAACACAAAGATTTACTGTGTAGAAAAAAGGAGAGTTTCCAAAGTGAAATATACTGAGTGTGTGCGTCTATATGAAGAGTGTGGTGGGGTAGAGGTAATGCTCTGTGTTGTTGTGTCTCAGCTCATGCAGTAGATGAATGTTCAACACTTGACATTAAAGAGATATACCCTGAGTTTTTGGGTTGTGATTCTTTGGTCAACTCACCTGTTAAGTGATGAGAACATTTACACCAAAACCCTCCGTGTGTCTCCAGCAGGTCATTACACTGCAGTGTTCCACGATATGTCGAGTGGTGCAAGCCTTATCCCAAGTTTTATTTGTTGTCCTTTTTAATCTAACAGCTCACCCAGTACCTTTTTCCATTTTGGCAGCCTAAGTTCCTGGCATGCAATAATTAAATGGGTCATAGCTGTCTGTGACTGCAGCTGTGGCACATAACGAACACAGTAGGTTTTGCCATGTCAATATATATATACGTGTATATGTTATCACAGCATTATTGATTAGTTAACAAAAAAACCTGCACAGAAAAGCCAACATTTGAAGTGTTTGGACAGGTTTCCATTGGAGAGCATTGCCCATGTTTATTAGCCAGGCTCTATGGATGGCAATGTGATTCTTGGGAGTCGTCCTACCACTTTGGTCTGGACTGAAATGATTCAATCAAGTTATTAATTAATAATAATAATAATAATAATAATAATAATTCTTTGTGTCGAGGCTTTGTTTAATCCATATAACTATGTACAGCGCGCTGTTTCGCACGTACGATTATTACTATTGTGCGCTAAAGGTGTGGACAAGTGAAGTCGACGTGATTTGATGCCGCGGATTGCAAAGTGGAGGATGAGAGAGAGAACAGCGAGGGACGAAGAAGAGACAGGCCAGAGAAAAAGACAGGAAGTGTCTGGGATGGGATCTTTTCAAGCTAAAAGTAAACAACACCTCTGTACAGTGTGTGTTGTAGTCGCTTCAGCAACGCAGAGCAGAAAACAGCCGGGGTACCGGGGGCGCAAAGCAAAAGTATTTCATATCAATTTACTTGACGAAATAATCTGTAGAATACGTCCTCAGCTACAAGATGTTTTGCCATCAAATTTTGTACAGGCATTCATGGTGCCCAGTGGATGAATCCTAATGACTCTGATGAACCCACTTCTGGAGTCTCTGTTGGATGGATTGTAAGGAAAACTCGGCGCAGACATTTACGGTCTTTGTGAACTTTGGTTATCCCTCGACTTGTCCTCTTGCACCATCATCAAGTCAAGATTTAAGTTTGCTTTATCTAACAGTTTGGTTTTCCTTATAATGCCAGCAAATCTTTAATAACTAAATTTAAGCATCCCCTTGTCAAAAATGTCACTGTTGGCATATAATGCGAGAATGTGGTAGCTAGTTATATATTTGCCCCACTCCCAGTTTGTTTTGCACCATGCAACCTTCATGCAAAAGACATTAAAGGCCCGAGCAGGTTCTTATCAATGATATCACTCAACACGGTGTAAGTGAAAGTGTTAGCATGAAGCGACGGAGCCGTCGGGTTCACATGGATGGTTTTGGCCCCTTGTTGTCTCATCACTTGACCAAATAAAGCGGAACGGTCTGTTCAACCTCCCAAAAACCAGGTGTATCCCTTTAAGCAGTAAATGAAACAGGTGAGACTGCAGTCTGGCTTCTTGTTTAAAGGTGTGACTGAAAGCAAAAGGCAGGAGGAGAGAGAGGAGTGTTGCTTTGAACGGAGGAGGTGTGGTAGATAGTAGTGAGGGTGAAAGATGATCTGCTGAGACCGCTTATAGAGGGGTCAGAGGTCAGGGGTCAGGGAGAAGCGAGCTGATTGGTTGACGTACCGACGGAGGTGGGCATCTCGCCCCACTGCAGCACCACGTCTTTGGTGATGCGTCCGTAGGTGTTGACGTAGACGCCCTCGTCCTCGTAGCACAGCAGCATCTCCATGCCGTCCGTCTTGGGCAGAACCACGATGGCGTGCGGGGTCACCTGACCCTGAATCTGCCGGGGCGACACACGGGAGGGGGTTGGAGGGGGTGGGGGCAGGGGATTAGGAGCTGCCCGTGAGCCTACAGGGGGGGCCTGGACCCTCACCCACCCTTCACCCCCCCTTTCCCCCCTGAGAGAGAAGAAACTGCTGCAACAATAGAGGCTCCCGCTCCTCAGCCACGCAATCGCCATGGAAACAGACATGAGCAGAGCGTGATTCATGAAAAGCAATGTGAGGCGGTACCGTCTCCTCACCCGTTCATCTCTCCCTGTAACCAGACCAGGGTTAGAGGAGGACACAGATTCGCCCACATTCACTCACTCACACAGCTGTTACTTAATGCAATAATTCTCACATCCATTCACTCACTCACTCACTCAATGATTCATCCACTAATTTATTCTCTAATGCACCTATTTACTTACTAATTCATTTACTCACTCACTCACACACTCAGACACATGAATACTGTAAAGTCACTCACTCATTTACACCACCATTACTTTGTTTAATCACTCATTCATGCACACATTCCTTCAATTAATCAGTCCCTTAAAATCAGTGACTATGGATGGATGAATCAATGAATTAATTTAATGTTTTATTTATTCATTTGTTGACTCACTCATTTACCCATTTACTTACTCTTGGACTCACTCATTCATTCACTCAGCCATTCATTCATTCATTCAATTGATGATTCATCCACTAATTTATTTACCGATGTACCTACTTATTAACTTATTTATTCATTTACCCAATTACTGACTCTTTGACTCACTCATTCATTTACTCACTCACACACTCAATTAATGATTCATCCACTAATTTATTTACTGACGCACTTACTTACTTATTAACTTATTTATTTCTTTACTCACTTACCGGTTCACTCACTCATGTACTCACTCTCTCATTAACCCCACCATTCCTTTGTTCAGTCACTCATTCACGTATTCATTAACGCACCCATTCCTTCATCTAAACAGTATATTGGCACAAATAATTTTATTCTCTGACTCAACCTACTCACTTATTCAATTATTGACGCACTTCATTCACTCATTCACTCACAGCTTACTTTTTCAATCATTCACTAATTAATGCATCCCTTCATTAACTCACCCATTCCTGCATTGCTCACTCACTAACTCATCTATGTATTCATTCTTTTAATCATTACCTCACTTATCCATTCATTCTTTCACTCACTGACTTTCTTCATTCACTCACTCACTTTCTCACTCTTAAAGTCACTCAACCATTCACTCTGTTGGTGACTCACTCATTCACTTACTGCCATATCCATTCATTCATCCAGTCAGTGAGTCATTTATTTATACAATCCAAGTCACTTTTCACCGTGTAGTCATTGCTTTGCACACTCGCTCACACCATCATGTATTTATTAATTCACTCACTCACTCACTCCCTCCTTTGCTTGCTTGATCATTCGCTCCTTCGCTGTCTTGCTCATTTACTCAAATCACTCATTCATTCATTAACTTATTTACTGATTCATACCATTTCGTTTGTTGTCTTGTCAGTCAAGTATTCATTATTTCATGTTTTCCCTCACTACCTCACCCAGTCTCGCTTTCTCTCACCCTTTCATTCATTAAAAACAACGTTACCTCAGTATTAGTCAGTATTAATTTAAACATGCACTTAATGTTTAAACGTCCTGATGACGACTGAAATGGCAGGACAACGTTCAGACACACGCAGAGACTAACATGTGAGGGGATGTAGATGTCGTAGGGGTTCCCAGAGTCCACATCGATGACGTGGAAGCCAACGCTGGAGCCGTAGATGACCTTTAACCTCTGCCCCTCCTCCACAGTCAGGTCCACCAGCTGGGGGCGGTGCTGCAGGTCAGTGAACGACTGACAGACAGACAGAAAGAGAGAGAGAGGGATTCATTAAACACCCGAGGTAATTTAAATAGGATAAATGGAAACTGTGCAACCTATTTGAGCGGTGGAAGAAGTTATGGACGCACAGATCCGACTTTTTCCGTCCCGCTACCAAAACCTTTGGCTTTGGGTATCGGCCGATGCCAAGCACAGATCTAATACCAGTGTAAAATTAACAAGCTGTATTCCTCACTGTGAGGAAGAGACTGGGAATCATTATTTCATGCGGAAGTCAACATCATGTAGTGCACGTGTAATTGAACTTGAATGGATCGGCCCCCCTGTGACCAACACCCGATCCAACTATTTGATACCTGCAGATTCTGGCAGATATCCGAAATCAGAATCCCTAGAAGAAGTATTCAGACTTCTTTACTTAAGTAAAAGTAACAATCACTCAATTTAAAAATACTTTGCAACAGCTAAAAGTCCTCAGTTCAAAGTTTACTTTGCTTTCCTTGTACCCGAGGCAGAACGTCCTGAATGTTCGGCCACCGAAATTCAAATAATATTATTAATAACAACAAAAGCACTTTCGCTGTTCGGCCTAATACGTCAAAAGACCGAAGAAATTTTACTGAACAATTACGTTGACATATCGGCAGTGTGGGTTCGAGTTACAGGTGCTGGTCATTTATTAGAATATCATCAAAAAGTTGATTTATTTCAGTAATTCCATTCAAAAAGTGAAACTTATATATTATATTCATTCATTCCACACAGACTGATATATTTCAAGAAAATAATTCCACATCACGCTGCTCGTTTGCTTCTGTCTTGTTAGCCCACATGTTCTCAAAAACAAAAGAGGTCTTTTATCCACTTTTATCATCTTACCTTGAAGGCCATAAACTTGTGGTAAGGTTTAGGCGCCCAGGCGTAGATCTCCACTGCGTTCTTCAGAGCAATCACCAAAAATTTAATCCTCTCGTACTTCACTGCAGGGGAAGAGTAGAGGAGAGCAGAGCAGCGTCAGAACAGTCAGATATGTAGCACCAATATATCGATAAACCATAAAACCAATTTCATCCCCTTTCTGCTGTGGTGTGGCTGCAAATAAACGCAGGTCTCAATTAGAAGCCTGGTCTGGTTTTTAAAGGCTCTTAAAGCCCACCGGGTCGCCTGCTTGAGCTAAGCTGCTTAGATGAGCACCAAAGTCCAATTCATTCAGATTTCATTCAAAGAAGAGATGAAAAAAATTCGTATTCTTTTAGTGTGTAAGGGTCCGCCGATCAAAAGAATCAAAAAGTTTTTTTTCAGTTTTGTTTTAGGTTATATTCATACTGGTTTAAATAAACCATTTCATAGAAGCCTATTTCCCACCTTTGCTGAGTTTTGTGTGAAAGGAATTATAGGCCTGTCCCAAACAGTGCTGGGCAGTAATGCGCTTTCCCCAGTAATTAACCCTTCGCTAAGCCCCGCCCCCCCTTAGTTACTGTTGCTAAGTCCGACAAACTGTCCGTTACTGCACTCCCCGGGGAAATACTGTCAAATTTGTTGGAAAAAGCGATCTCAGAAAGAACGGATTACAATTTCCAAACAATAATATTATTACAGTTATTAATCTTAGTAACGCCGCATTACTGCGTTACTGAACGCACCATCCTTGACGTGAATGCGTGATTATTGAAAGTAAAATAGTAAGGTAACGAAGTAACGTAACTACTTTCTAGTAATAAGTAAAGAAATATTATTACTTAGTAACTAGTAACTTATTACAATTTCTGAGTAACTTGTAACATGGGCCAAAAAATAAGCAGGGTGAGTTCAGTGACTGAAGCAAATAAAAACCCGGGCTATTAACCAGTTTTACATTATACCAAACTGTGCTTAAACTGCAGTTAAAAAACACATATGGACTCTTGTTGCTTTGAATACTTTGAATTTGGGATAGAAAATGTGAATTTAGAACAACAGATTAAGGATTTAAAATATTTAGAGAGGAAATTAAAGCTTAAAGCCCCAAACTCTTAACCTTATAAGTCCCCATAATGTGGGTGTGTTAACACGCTGATTTCGTACCGACTTTGTAGTGCACGCAGCCCTCCAGCTCCCCAACAGTGATCCAGCCCTGTTTCTTTTCCACTTCAGGGTCGTTGTGTAATATCCTGTTCCTCAGCCAGGACAGGTAGTAAACACGCAGCTTGTTCTTCTTCCCTGGTTTGGAAAGAAAACAACAAGGAAGACAATTCAGAGAAATAATATTCTCTTTGTGTGTAAATCTGTTTTAAACGTACAGGTTTGACATTTCAGCGATGACACTCGTCCAATGTGACTTATTATTGCATCAGTGCGTTTTGATGTCGTCATCCCAGACATTCAAATCTGACCAGGGAGCGCAGAGAAAAGTAAAATCTGCCATAAATGGAAACATCTCCGTCATTTTCAGTGTCTTCTCTGGTAACCAAGGGCAACAGGAAACACTGACGACCAAGCAACAAAAAGGCTAAACGGGCGTTATAAACGGCTGAGTGTAGAGCCTGCCGCCAAAGATGGAGGGGATACGCAATAATCGTGTAAATGTGGAGATAATGTCACATGACACAACAGTCTCACCTGAACTGTTGCACTTGTTTGCTCACGTGAAAGATAGTTGAGATAGTTGTGAGGTAGTTTGCGAGAGAAGTTGAGAATCACAGCACGTCCACGTGGAGAAACTTACGTCTCAAAACTCATTTGAGCATCAACTTCACGGCCAATGTAAAGGGACCGTCTAGACACCAACACTAGGAAGTTAAATTTGATCACCAGCTGCCCCTCTGATCAGGCTGCAGGCTTTTACGAGTCATACCAACCTGAGATGGTGACCAGGACGTTGAGTCCCTCCAGGACTTCCATCTGTTGGAAGCGCCGTCGATTGATCAGGTTGTAAACTTTTCCTTGACCACTTCTATCCAGCAACATCAGGCCGTTCTCCGTCCCCACCAGCAGGTTCACTCCTGCGCACACACACACACACACACACACACAAATGTCTGTTTTACAGCCTATGTGATTTCAGATGATTAACATTCCCGTTGTGAAGGTGTTTTGTTGACTGCCTCACCCCAGAGAGCAGCGCAGAGGATCTCAGAGTTGAAGCGTTTCTTGTATTTGCGGATCTCCGGGGTGTCGCTGTGCGGCCTGATGTTGGTCGGGTTCACGTTGACCACAGAGATCTTCCTGGCCTCGTTGAGCCTCGCCTGCTCCTGCTTCAGCAGCTCATCAGCAAACAGCGCTGCACGTATGACATACAGCACATGATTTTACTTTTACAAGTTTCTTACAGTGCCTTGAGTGCATTTACTGTGTCGTTATGGATGACCTCTGGCTTTCTGATATCTAGTGGAAAAACATCAATAAGGTTGTATTTATTTCAAGCCCAAGGAATGTAAATGTGACTAAATGTACAAATTATTAACCTAAGGTTTTTCTCAGTTTTACAATTAATTCATTGGTTTAACCAAAATCTTCAGCACAGATCAACTACTGTGATTTCGACAAAAATACAAATATATATAATAATATAACAAAAAGATTTTGTTTACAAATTGATAATTATGAAACCGTAAAATCATATTTGTGATGATGAACGATGCATCCCAATCATTTCATCGTTAACAAGAAGAAACAAATCTTTGGCAGAAGGAGTAAGAAATGAAACAAGCCGTCTGTTTTCTTCTACATAAAATGTGCTTGGTCTACAACGTGAACAGAGCTTTAAATGCAATCTATAAATGAGTCTACGAAGTCAATCAGTAAGTGATTTTTCCTTCTCAAACTGTTTTTTCTTCACTAATTTTGTGCAGAAAATCTGAGAAATAAACATAATTTTGTGAAGCAGAATGTTTTTTTTTAAACGTATTTCCAACCAGCAATTGTCTCGCGATCCTTTAGCTTCGTATCTTGACCCGTTTCAGAGAGAGGAAGCGTACCTGAGGCAGAGATGTTATCGTCGTCGTCAGTCGGGGAGGTGCCGTACACCCTCGGATCAACGAACGGTGTGAAGGAAGCCTTGGAGCCTCCGCCGCTTCCCATCCCGTACTGCACACCACAGAAACACAGGTTACAGTCGGTCTCATGTTTGTCTGATGGTTTGTTAGTTTTGAGAAAATTTAATGAAACAGGCAGCTGCTAAAATAAAGGAAACGCAGCGGGTTGAGTAAAGGCTTTTGGGTGAAGGTGAGCCACAAAAAAACTCTTTAACGCTCTTCGTTCTGGACTCAGGGATTCAACACATTCCTGTTTCTTTCTTTCGATTCGTCATGATAATGAAATCCTGTATAATCCCACATTCATCAGGTTTCCTTTTATTTTGTCAGCTACCTGTACCATGGGCTCAGGGTGGAGGACACTTTCTGGATCAGAGGCTGGAAAACAGAGAGAGAGAGGGAGACAGAGAGGGATCGAACGAGTGGAGCAGGGAGGGAAGAAATCCAGTTTGTTCCATCTGTGGGGAAAACACTGGAGTCAAAGCGGGACAGATCTAAGTAGAACAGGGCAGGAAATTAAAGATGCCACATGCTGTCATTTTAGATTTTTCATGCTTAGACTCTCATTTCCTATAAACCCTGTTGCTCTGTGATGCAAAGAGGTAGAAACGAGATGAGGCTGAGTGGAGCAGCAAAAAACTAGTCAGCTGGCCGATGAGTTGATTGATGAAATTAACATGTTCATACTTTATTAATTGTTTTAGCTGTTTAAAAACATTTTCTGGTTATGCGTCACAAATGCATTCTTGATAGAATAATTTGAGTTTCGTTCAAAACTAATTTGGTAGATGGAGACTGGCAGATTTCTACGTTTTGCATAGTTGTTTAATCCAAATATTTACGCAGTGCTTCCACATTTCGCTGCTCAGCTCCAGCCACGTTATGTCTTCCTTTAAAACTGTAGACTAATTCAAATGTTTGCTGAAAAGGTTGCAATCATGTGAACATAAAACGGGAAAAAATTACTTCTGTAATTACTCTGTTTTGCAAGTTAACTCTCAAAGAGAATTCACAAATGAATACTCAGCATGTGGGAAACACTGATTAATCTGTAACTAATAGTCTCAGATCCTCAGATTTCTCTTCAAATGGACTCAAAACGCAACACTAACATCTTAAAATCACTGATCGTTTACTGATTTATATATTACACATGGCACATTTTATTCTTTTTGCCAACACGCCACAGTAACTGCTCCCACTTCAACATCAAAACCCACAGTCTACTGTTTTATTGCTGGTTGGTGGCTGCTGGTAATTTCCCGCCCTGGTAAAGAACCAAACAGCTGGTTGGTGACAGGTTTGTAGGCAGGGTGGGTGTGACAGGGTGAGCGGGGGAAACAGGTGATCGGGTCTATCAGGATCAGGTATAAGCGGGTTTCAGGGGGCCGACAGTTGGGTGCTGCTCCACCTACTTGGGCCCCAGAGGCGTCGCCAGGGGAGACCAGAGGGGAGGTGCTTTGCTGTACCAAATCAGGGAGATTGGCGTTGCCAGCGAACAGATTAGCGTTGCCAGGAAAACCATTGCTGGCGGTAGAGCTCCGCCTTCGTTCCCTATGTTTCTGGAAAAAGAGAGAGAGGGGCGGGCTACTGTGCAGCGAGGCTGTGATTGACATGTCAGGTTTTTAGAAGGGGGGCAGACGGGTGCTGAACCCAGAGGGAACTCCTTCATACATGTCTGTGTTTCATACAGCGCTTGGCACACTCACAACAGCCTACTTAGACTAATCTGTCTTCTGGCAGACCAACAGTGATGCTATTATCTTCCATAGCTCAGGAGGGAAACAAAGAAAGACCACCACAGGACACTAAGACCTTCCTCTAAGACCCGGGTAACAACTAGATACAACATCTGTAATAACAACAATATGGATCACATGGACACACAACACATGGCTGGGATTATTATTAAGATGATGACTGGAAATTAATTGTAAAGAAGTTTGAAATGATCAATTAATGATTAGTAAAGTCACTTTTTAAGCAAAAATTTCAAATATTCTCTGGTTCTGGCTTCTCAAATGTGAATATTTGCTGCTTTTCTAAATCTTTTATGAGAGTAAACTGTAAAACTTCAATTAAATGCTTAGTCCCAGTTAGACGCCTGGCGCTTATTTTACTTTAGTTCATAAGAGTCCGACAATCAAAAGAATAATTGTTAATTATGTTTTTTCATAAAAAAGAATTCAAGTCTAAATAACTACGGTAACCTTTGGCTTTCATCCTTTCTACGGTGGTCTCTCTTTGTCTCTCTCTATTCACGTTATTCCCATTTTTATACAAGTAATATTCATACTAGTTTAAATAAACAGTTTTGTCCCAAACACTGTCAGGGTGAGTTCAGCGAATGAAACAAATATATTTTGGCTTTTCAATTGATTGTTGGGGAAAATTAAAATTTGAATTAATATCAATTTGGGCTTGGGAAACTGTGATGAACATCTTCACTTTGTTCTGACATAACAGACTAAACAATGCACTGAAAAATCAATTAAAATAATCAGCAGACTAATTTATAATGGAAACAATCATTAGTTGCAGTGCTCTCCAGTTCTCCAACAATAAAGTAAACTGAATCACTGGTTCATGAGCTGGACAATGAACCACATCTGTTTAATTACAGACATTGTGAATCTCTTTTTAAATGTACTCTCAGCACAGTTTTAAAATAACAAATAGTTTGATTATCAAATAATTAAACTGATAAAAGGCTCCAACATCCAACCAATCAGCCCAAAGTCCAGATTTAGACTGTAGTTAACAGAAAGGGAGCCATCACGTCAGATACGGATGTATTAAAAGATGCTTATGGTTACATTTATTAAGAAGGAAGTGGACATTTATCGAGATATATACTTTTAGATAATATCATCTGGCCTTGGAATTAAGCTCAGTCGTTGATTTTGAGTTTTGTTTTTTTGTCATTTGGGGGAACATGTGGTCAAAGCCTAATCCACACGCCACGCCCGCTGTGTGTGTGCGTGTTATTCACACTCACAAGCCAGAACAAAAACAGGAAACAGCCAGGCATGCAGAGCTGGTGAATGAATGTGTGTCTGAGCGGCGAGCGGCGGATCCTGTGGAGTCAGCGAGGCTACAGGTCAAAGGTCAGGAACTGAGAGGCGGCTTACCTCGCGCATCATCAGGGTGCTGTCCTGGGAGCTGTTTCCATACGAGTCGTCGTGGGCGTCGTTTTGACCTCCCATCATGCTGAAGGACTCGTTGGTACCTTGACTCGCTGGCCTGAAAGGGAGACGTCAATTTATAATTATTTTTTTATTGTTTATCTTTTCATTTACATTTTTTTACTCAATATTCTTTTAAATATGCGTCTCCATGATCGTCATGCTCATTATTTTCTAAACCTTGTCCCATAAATTCATTTTATTAACAACATATGAACCTTAAAGTTTCAGTTTATGTAAAAATACAGGTGAATTTTACTCATTATGTTGCTGAAGGTGGTTCCATAAAGTAAAACGTGTATCAGGTAGTAAAGTAAAACTTTAATCACCTCACATGGGACCAAAACTGAACCTTTGATTCACCATCAGGATGAATTCAGCGGTACAAATTCGGCCTAAAATAAAGGTACAAATCCCCGATTTTCCAGCTTCTAGCAAAGTATAATGACACTAGGCGCCAATGACACCTTTCACATTATACATAGTTATTTGATCCATTGCTAACATAAAATATTAATTATTGTGGCTCTGAACTAATAAAGTGGCCACTGAGCGTGTTGGTGTGTGGGAAGCCAGTGGGGGATCATGTCCTTGTTCCTTAAAGGATAATCTCAGTATTTTTAAACCTGGGTCCTATTTTCAGTTAATTTTTTTTGTTTATTTGACCGGGACAAAAACATGAAGCTTTATAAAGTATACAAAGTAGATGCATACATGTTGCTAGCAATGACTAACTTGCAACCCATGTCTCTGGCGTTGAAATGAGTTTCGCTCTGAAATCTCGCGAGAGGCGAGTCGTTGCAGGAAGACGCCGGTGGAAACGTGAGTCAGACCTGGAGAGAGGAGTTCATTGTGTTGGAGCAACAAACTCCTCTCCCTCGTTTCCACAGTCGACTTCCAGCGATAACTAGCTTCTCGTGAGATTTCAGAGCGACAGTCTGAACAGTCTGAGCCCGTCGCTGGCAAAAAAAAGCCCTTTTTAAAGGACTTTATTCTGAAGGGATACGTTGCAGCCACTCCTTTTGAGCCCACTAGTCATTTTGACACCAAAATATGTGAAAATAGGGCCCGGGTTTTAAAATACTAAAATGATGCTTTAACTTTTCTTGCAGCTCCTTCCTTTAGTCGGGGAAAAAGATTGCTGGATTTGATCAGGATCACCAATACTCACATGATGCGTGGTATGTCACTGACAGCCACTGTCCCGTCATTAGGCCCGCCCTCTCCCTCCTCGTCCTCGCTGCTGTGAGAGTCCTCGCTGGATGAAGAGTAGTCCGTCACTTTGACGGGCGGGCGGCTGGTTTCCTCCCCCTGTCTCAGCTCCCTGAGCTCTTTGGCCAGAGCTGTCAGGTCCTGGGGGCCCGAAAAAACAACAGTTTGATTTATGGAGAAAAGCTAAACCTCCGTGTGACTTGTTTTACTTTATAATTGTTCTTAAACAGCTGCCTAGTAGCTACGTGAGGGGTGTGACGAGAGCCGGGTGACATGAAGATAACATGTGTGGATTTGTGATCAGAAGTGTTTTCCGTGTTTTAACTCCTTGTCAGTCATCCTAACATACAGTCCCAAACTGTGTTGGACAGACAGTCTGAAGGGGATACGGCCAGCGGAGCAGTAACATAATGCACAAGAGAGTGTAGGGCAGCTAGACTTTTAATGAGCACAATGAATTCTCATTAAATGACGACGTTATTCTCGTAATATTACGACTTTTTTCTCGACATGTCAGAGAGCACAGTATGGGGGGAGAGATTCTGATTGTGCAGAAAGTTTTGAACATGTGCAGAAAACCTGCTGAAACACAGGAATCTGAATGAATGAATTCAAATTAATTAATTTGTCATTAAGGTGAAAAGGTGCCACGTGCACATTTAAAGAGGTTACTTCCCCAAACTAAAGAAACAAAAGAGGAGGAAAGGACCAAATCACATCTGCTTGTGTGCTGACTCAGCAGTGATGATGTTACATGAGATCAAAGTTGATCTACAGGAGAAAACATATCGGAAAGCAGCACAGAAGCCCGAGAGCTGCACTGCGTTAAATTCAGTTTTACCCTTTAAATAAAGAAAAACACTTCAACACTTCACTTCTGGTAGTTCTACAGTAAGATGTTAAGGGATTTGTCCACGCTTGGAAGCTGTTTATTGCATGAATATCTAATTTATGCTCTGTGACAGCTGGTCAAAGGATGTATCACTGTTGAAGCCCAACAGTCTTGTGGGATGTAAGATTGTCTTTTCAATATTAAACAGCACACAGTGTGTTTCATTAGTTTAGTAAAGTGTTGATTAATGAAAAGAAATTTACATCGTCGGACAGTTTCCTGCATTGCCACAGTGTGCGCGGCAGCGTGTAAACCATAAAACAGCCATCCAACGTGAGAGAAACAAACCTCTAAAACTATAAACTATAAATGTGCAGAGAAAGAAATGGTAGAAAATCAACTTTAGAAGAGTGTTTTATACACACAACTATGTGTGTATAAAATAGGCTTAGAGCAGAGACTGTATATAAAAAGGCTAACCATACTAACTTCTAAATGTTAATATAAGTAGTGTATTTAATTTCATTTTGTCTTTATAAGACCAGTACTTCATAGCATTTATAAATAGATAATATAAAATGTAATAGTATTGTAGTATTTATATTAATATTGAACAAGTTCAGAACAGTTTACATAAATTTGCATTACAATGAAAATCAAATATTAATAGACTAAATATAACGGCCCAGAAATGAAGTATCAGTGCAGTTACAGTGCAGTAATACACACTGTAGCTGACCCTAATTTAATAAAGGAAAGAAAAGTTTAGTTGAAAGGACATTTAACCAAAGGCACATGAAGCAGAAGAGTTATTAATTATTAAAAAACGTTAGGGAAGTGTTTCCGTCTGTGTGGAGCAGGTACATCACAAATCTGTTAAGGGTTTATAAACTAGTCGCAGCACTTGAAACTTTCTTTATAACCTTTTGGAAGCCAGTGTAAAGGTTCACGAGCAGGAGTAAACAACTTCTCCTGGTTCTTGTTTTTTAAAGTATGGCCCGAAATCGCAGCTTTAAAAACCAGCAGAACAGACACATAAAAGGCTGTTTTACTATTTAGAAAGCAAGCGGTTAGTAAGATTCATTTAGAGCTCATTACTGAGCGTCCACAGTGGGGAGGGCAGCGAGCAGCAGGACAGTGCAGAGAGAAGAGGAGCAGGGACAGAGTCTACCATCATGCCTCGGTGCAGGAGGGCCAAAGGTTAAAGTTCAGGCCTCTGAGATAAGGGGTTGTGCATGTGAGAGGTTTTAGTGAGGGGAACAACACGAGGTGGTGGAGGGAGGAGGAATGGGGAGGGGGGTTATCTTACCAACTCCTCCTGATGAGAGAGAGACAGAGAGAGCGTGAATGTAGAGTGATAACAGGAAGAAAAGTGAATCCTACAGTAACTGACAGCTCCGTCTGACACAAGAGGAAAAGTCAACATCATCTAATCAGAGGAGAGAAAAGAGGGGATCCATGGGGGAGGAATGATATGCAAACACGCCCGCTGTCGTTCCCCCATGTGTGAGATAAACGGACTTTGAGTTTAATCAGAACACTGTACCTAGATCTATACCACTATGAGGAACTATGTTATCTTCTATACTATGTTATCTTCTATACAGCAGAGTTCAGCCATTCACATCACAAAGCAGTCTACCAGGAATGTGTGCTTGCATGTGTTTGGCTGCACGTTATTTTTTGTTTTAATGCCGGACATTATTGATTTGTTCAGGCCTTCTCGTCACCGTCCCCGCTGTGCTAACACAGCGGTCTCACTGAAAGGAATGAGCGCGCCTGCGTTTGGCAAGAGCTGAGGATTGATTGAGACTTCTGTAGCTGAACTGTGTGAGGGGACAGACGAGTGCGGGGGGGAGATTTCACTGAGAGGTGGAGGGAGATGGGGGTGAGACAGGAGGAGGGGTGAAGGAGGAGAAATGTCACTAACCTCGTCTACAGCTTTCTTATAGCTCTGAAGGACGATGGAAAAGAGGGATGGAGGGAAGGATGAGCAGAGAGAGAGAGGAAGAGAGTGAAAATGAACAGCAACGTGGTTATTTTCAGAGAGAAGAGTCGGCCTGTCCGTCAGAGTGTGTTCACATGTTCTCCAACACAAACAGCCTGTTTACACGCTGACACTCGAGTTTTTGTGTGCGCGCACTCACTGCAGGCCTGCTGGGTCGTGTCACTTCTCTGCTGTCGTCTTTGGTCTCGTGGGAAGAAAGTGTCGAGCCGTCAGTCTTAATGGCTGAATTACCTGAACACACACAAACGCAAGCATCGAGAATTGTTTTGGAAATCAGACATAAACATAAACGGAAGAAAAAAACCTCCAAAACTATAAATGTGCTAAGAAAGAAAAGAAGAATGAAATCATGTTTTCAAAATAAGAACAATGTGTGTCTGGAACAGGCCAAGAGTTGACCTAGAAACGTCTAGATGGTAAAAAGAAGTAATATACTTAATCCTTTTTAAATGAAGTTTGTCTTTATAAGACAAGTACTTCATAGTATCAGTGCAGTTACAGTGCAGTAATACACACTGCAGCTGCTCCTAATTTAATAAAGGAAAGAAAAGTTTAGTTGAAACAGACATTTAACCAAAAGCACATGAAACAGAAGAGTCAAAGGTTAGGGCATCATTTTATCGCACGTTAATGATTATTATTTTGAAAGTCCGTTGCTCTCTGGCTCTGAATAGACATACAGTCAAACCAGGGGACAGGGGAACAGGGACACTTGCTACTGAACAGAAACCGTTTCTGCTGCTCCCTGATAAAAGAAAAATGTTTCTGCAGATACCTGCCCAGAAAAAACCTCAAGAAAACAGATTTACAGGCTGTATGTTAACCTGCTGCTCAGAGGGGGCCTGTTATGATGTTCTGATCGTGGCTCTGGACTCTTGTTTTAACAAGCTGGATAAAAGGTGAAGCCCTGGCAGTGGCCAATAGCTTTGATTCAATATTTGATTTGAAAACATTAATGATTAATTTGAGATTTACAAGAAATATGTTATTGCTGCTGTGTAAAAGGAATACTGCTGGTAAAAAGCTCCTTATTTGTTATTAAAAATTTTAATCGTTGCGCAGCACTACCTTATTTATAACTTTTGGAAGCCAGTGTGAAGGTTCACGAGCTTCTCCTGGTTCTTGTTTTTTAAGGAGGCGGTATTATGCTCATTTTCAGGTTCATAATCCTATTTAGAGGTTGTACCAAAACAGGTTTACAAAAAACACCATATTTTTGTCATACTGCACATTGCTGCAGCTCCTCTTTTCACCCTGTGTTGAAGGCTTCATTTTAGCTATGGAGTGATACATCTTTTCTCTAAATGATCTTTGTTGGGAGTTGCACATGCTCAGTTCCTAGTTAAGGACTACTAGCCAATCAGAAGCAGAGTAGGGCGGGTCAGCGAGAAGCCAGGAAACAGCTTCGGTTCAGCTGTACATGCTGCCGACCAGCTTGGCAACATGGACTGGAGCAAGAGTTTCAGAGTGGTGAGTTATTAATCTGTAACAAAAGTATCTTTCATCCATAAAGTTTTAACTGAGCTCTGTCTCTACATCACAGGAACAACTTTATGTCCACTGACTGCCTGGAGGGTAGCTGGTGTTTGGAAGGAGAGGAGAGCTGTGTGCTGCAGCTCGCTGTTTTTACACCGGTGTTTTTGAGGGCGTGTCGGAGTAGCCGCTTGGCGAGCGTTATATGAGGCGCATTTAGCTTTCATCCCTGTGACGTCACAGACAAACTGGACTACAAACGAGCTGTTTTCAGGCAGTTCAGAGCAGAGTTTTCTGTGGGAGATGGGAACTCCCTTTGGGCTGGACTTCTTTGCAAACCTATTACATGCACAAAAAAGATATACAACTCAATAAAGGAGAGGGAAAAAGCCAAAAAGCAGAATACCACCTCTTTAAAACAGTTTTTGGCTACACAAGGACATTTTAGAGGGCGCGAGGACATTTTCAAAAAGTCAGGATATTTCTTGGAAAAATCTTTTTTGAAAAAAAAAGAAAGGATGTTTTGGAAAATTGAGAACGCTTTCTGAAAGTGTAGACATTTAGGTAAAGTGTGGATGTTTGGGGGAAATTAAGGGCATTTTTTATGTCATCTAGCGTGTTGCTATGTGTCCTGTATTCATGGTGAGTCCCTTTTAGTGTTAAATAAAGTAACGTTTAGAGACTCAGCGAGTCATCATATGACTGAGGGCCCTCACAAGTGTAGAAGCACAGACATGAGTGTGCACCTCGTTCGTTGGAGCCTCCCTGGGAGCTCGGGGTGCTGGAGCTGGAGGAGCTGCCGCTGCTCGTCCTCTTCAGCGGCGTATCCATGGAAACGTCGGTCCGCCGCAGGTCAGGGTTGCTAGGGCAACACAAACACAACACCGTTTCATTGATGCGGGAAACTGTTGAATTTAGCGTGAGTGTGTGTAACACTAACAGGACACGGTACAAAAACAGTTTCCGGAATTATTTAACACAAAACCCCAAAATTTATTCATATTAGCAGGTTTTAAGTAAACCAGGGTTCTAAGCAAAAGTCACGTGACTCAGAAGAAGTTCAGCAATTGGACAAAGACTTGATTACGTGACTGGTTAAGAAAAACTGTACAGCTTTAAAGAAAACAGGGACTCATCTCAAAAAGCTGGCCGCTATGAGGTATTAGGGTAAACCTGTGTGTGTGTGTGTGTGTGTGTGTGTGTGTGTGTGTGTGTGTACCTAGCCCGTATGAGGTGCGCTCCAGCCCGAGGTCCAAGGCCAGGTCCATTTCCAGGAGAGTGCTTCCTGACCAGAGCAGGAGAGATGGAGGTCGTCCTCTGAGGAACCTGGGGAGCACACACATCCGGGTCAGGACCTCCTTTTTCATATCGGACAACTACAAAAACATTATTACATCAACCTTTAGCTGTTAGGACTAAATATCAAACTGAAAATTCCTCTTTTTATGGGTCCTCTGATGGACATTTGGGGGTCTCTGGACCCACGTTTTGATACTGTAAAGACCCTTCAGTCTGTTTACTGACGTCACTCTCTCCCTTTGTGTGCACTTAAAGTTAAATAATAATTAAATCATTTGGATTTTACTTTCCCTCTGACCTTACTGGGTTCCCATTCACAGTCTGAAAAACATTTGTTTCTCTCACAGCAAACAGGAAAATGGCCCTAAAATAGAACAAAATGTCTGGCAGTAATCTGGTCTGGTTTTAATTTCTCTGGCTAACCAGTTTCACATTTTTTTAAAGAGGTGTTCAGACTGAAAACAAATCAAATTGTAGAGACGGCACAAAAGGAATTATACAAAGATGTGAGTGGAAAATCTCGCAACAGTCACACAATTTGAAGCCAAAGCGTCTGCATGCAAGTGTAAAATGTCTTAACTGTTTTAATCCATGAAAGTACAGACACAACAGGAATAAAAGGAAAATAACAGAAACGCCTGAACAGTCAGTGTTTGTGCTGTTTGTGGCACAGATTGAAAATACCTGCAGTCATATTAGTGTCACTAAAGCCGGAAAGAATTTGTTTTGCATTTGATCTGAACACCCTCATACAACAGACATACTAGACATTTCACTATGAAACTAAACACCACTGAGCAAACAAAAAGACACCTGTGCAGCAGTTTCTACATACAAATTAAAAATACAGGCCACAACTTTAGTAAAGTAAATTATCCCAGAGTGTTTTAGTACAAATAGATCCGTTTTAATCAGTGTTTTTATGTCCATTTACTTTATTGCAGTTGGTGGCCTTTGAGATTGAAATCAATAAGATCAGACGACAGTAAAAAAACAGGAAACATCAGCTATCAGGAGAGACTCCGACAGACACAGGAACTAAACTGACAGTCACAGAGACACAAAAACAAAAACACAGTTCAGACAAAAAAGAGTTTCCACAGCGGTTAACACACTCGGACAAAGACACACGGGTCGCGGCATGCAGAGACCTTGGGCGGCATGTCGTCGTCCTGCCGCAGCCAGGAGCTGCGGTCCAACTTGTCGAGGGGGGGCGCCAGGCGGGAGAGGGGCGGGGGAGGAGGGGTGTCGGAGGTGGGGTCGGAGTTCTGCCGGGGCATGGGAGGCCGGGAGGGGGAGGGTGACGCCGAGGAGGAGGACACGCCGTGGGGGTCGTACAGAGACTGGGACCCTGACAGACCGTGACTCTTCACCTGCACCAGGTGGGCCATCTGGACACAGGCACGCACACACAAGCAGGAAACAGGCGAGGGGGGGGGGGGGGGGGGTTGAGAAGGAAGAGCAGGATGAGGACTTCACACAATGTGCTCAGGAGGAAGAGGAAATGATGCGAGGGAGGGGGGGGGGGAGTGATGATGAGGAGGAGGAGAGAGAGCAGGTGAGAAAGAGGGAGAGGAAGGTATGAAACACACGCCTCAGGGTGCGTTCACAGCAGCCATGTTCAAACTGGAGTGTTTGCTCCTTTGGTCCAGTTACTGGCATTTCCTCTAACAGCACTGAAAACAAAAGTCTCTCACCCAGAAAACACCATTTGGATGATTAACTAACGTCCTCCTGCTAAGCAAGCTCATATCCAGTGGTTTCTTCACGTCCTGTTAAATTATATTAACACCTGAGTAGAACAACAGGAGAGATCCTCCACGTCTCCTTTCAGAGGTCCACAAGAGGACCTACACCCTGCACAGCTGCCTCCTCAGTTCACTGCAGCCAGGTGAAATCCACTGACCTCCAATCTGACAAACTCTGAAAAGGAGATTCCTTCTGTGAATGGAGTCTAGTTCAACTGGTAGATCAAAAGCTTCAGCTTCATGCTCAGCTCCATTTTGACACACATGACAGTCTGGTACAACGCCCGCATCATCTCCGGCACAGCTCCAGCCCGCCTAACCATCTCCCCCTTCATCTTTCCCTCATTAGAGATGCTCTAATGCACTTATCCTTCACTGGAGCAAGAAACTCTACTGGCTTTCACAAAATCTGACTTGCTGGTTCAATCTTTCATCTCAGCTGCTTTGTTCAGGTCTGATGGCGCCAACAGAGCTACATCATCTACAAAAACTAGAGCTGCAATCCTAAAATCCCCAGCAGACGCTTTCGGTTTCCACATCGAGCTCCTACCTTGTGAAGAAGACCCACAGATACTAGAGCGCCTTCACCTTCACACATTTTCTACTTTCACACCGACCAAAGAAGCCGAACTCCAGTCTGTGACGGCACCCTGAGGGATGGAGGTTCGTGTCACATGCTACGACACGCATAAAGACGTCGAACACGCACCTGTGGTTCTACGGAGCGGTGCATCGGCGGGGTCCGGGCCTGCTGGATGCCTCCGCTGCTGAAGGACTCGGAGCGGGGCGGCAGCGACGGGTCCGAGATCCGGTTGGAGACTTTATGCTGCAATGCAGGAGAAGTCTGTCTGTTCATCTTATAATGCTCCTCCACCTGACACACACACACACACACACACACAGACCACAGTCACTCACAGCATGCCGTGAGGTGTGTGTTACGTGTTAGTAAATCCTGAGCTGTTCCAGTAAAGGATCTGATTTGTAATGAGTTGTGTGTTTAAGTTTATAAGAAAGAGTTATTATTAAGATTGAATTAAATTTACTCTGCTCTGCTCTGCATGTGAGAAATGATGAAATAGTTTTGGACTTTGGTCTTGGGGTTGGTGTTGATGTTTCCTGTTCTATTCTGTCTCTGGTGTCTTTGTCTCGTTTCACTTCCTGTTTTATGTGCTCACAGATTGTCTCTTTGGAGTCACCTGTGTCTCGTTACGTTCCCCCCCTCCTGCTGTTTTTAAGTAGTTTGCTCCTCTGACTCGCTGCCAGTTCATCGTCTCTACCGGTGTCTCGTCTGCCAGCGTTAGCGCTGTTTTGTAAAGTTCACTCGGTCGTGTGGATTTACACTCTGGCATTAGGATTTATGGACCTTGTTTTGACTCTCGATGCTTGGTTTTTATACTGCTTCGCTGTCTCTGTAAGTTTTCACCTGTTACTTTGAATAAACAAACTGCATATGGGCCCCATGTCTGCACCATGGCAGACCGTAACATTATGAGTAATAGCTTTAGCTAAAACCCACAATGTGTTTAGTTAAGTGCAAAATTTAGATATTTTATTTTATATTTATCTTTATTTTACTTTCCAGATAAGTGCTCAGTTAGAATTCTGGTCATTTGCGGGTCAAAAGACATCTAGGATAAACCTACATAGGATCAAACTGAGATGCAACTAATAGTTCAACAGCCTTTCAGGGACTATATTTCAACAGGTAGCTGCTTCACATGGAAATACAGTGCAGCCAGTGTTTTGCTCCTGGCTGTCGGCCAACCTCGAGGATTTCAACATCTGCTCCTCTCTTTGTTCTTTGCAAACCACCCAGGTCTTCATATATCTTTTTCTTATGATAAATGTCCTTACTAGATAAATATGGCATTTACTGTGTGTGATGGAGCCTCTGCTCTTTCTTTTTCCATTTCATCATGATCATGTTTTATGATGTTAGCAGAGATGGTCTTTGCTTCAGATAAGGTCGCCCGCCTGCAGGAAAATGTTATATGTATGTATTGCACTTTCCAACCAAATGTAGCCCAAATTTAACAAAGATTTCTTTGGATCTGCATTTATATGTGTGCAGCTGACAACCATACCAACAACCTGATGACGCCAGGCAGTAGAACTACTCTGTGGCTTTTTCATACTGAGAGAAGAAATGAATGAAAATGAATCGGAGGGATTTTAAACTAACAACACAAAGGACATTGATTAAGTTAAAGTGCTACTGACAGAGTTCAAAAGGTAGTCTGATTAGTAAAGGTCTCCATGGTTACCCGCTTTTGAGGGAGAGGTTCACATAATAATTATTGTCGTCAAGAATTTTCAGAAGCGGCACATTTCAGTTTTAACTGTTATAAATTTTGAAACACTGAGCTTCACTCAGCTGCTAACGTCGCCTGCCCTCCTCAGCGTGCCACACTTTCACACCTACAATCATTTCATAAGCCGGGCACGTTGTTCTAAAAGGTGATCATCTGTTGTTTGAGGGGGAACATTGTGTCTGCGTGTCACGGAAATATTTCTGAGTCTGGAGGAAATCCTATGAGGCTGAGGTGAGGGTAGACCTATCTGTACAGAGAGTGAGTTTCCGTGCTCTGCTGCCCACAGGGAGAGACAGACTGATATAGCTACAGCTGGCCTACATCAGTCCACCAGCTGCCACCAGAGGGCAGGCCGGGAGATCTGCCCTAAATGTGTGTGCACACGCTGGGGAGGGGTGTTCACATGTGAGTGTGTGCGCTTTTGGCCCTGAGTTATGGTGATAAGAAAACCAGCAGAGTTCAAACATGGAGCAGAGACCTGCCTTTTCTACACTCACGTCTCCTTTAGAAAAAACACACACCGGTGTTACTTCACTTAACTTTTGGGGATTTTAAACTCGCTGAAAGATTAGACGTTAAAACACATTCAACAACATTTCAAGATAAATAAATAAAAGAAAGGGGGAAAAACTCCTGCAACCTGGAGTTTAAGAGAACCCTGGTCGTAAAGAAAGTCTGAAAGATGTTAGTTTGAGTTGTTGAAGTTAGTGTTACACCACATCATGCAATAAAACAGCAGCTCTCAACCTGTTTGGAACAAACTAGCAAAAGCAGGATTAAAAGTTTCCCCTTCTGTTCTCTTTTAATCTGATTCATCATTAGAAAAATACCAGACCAAGTAAATATTCTCAGCTTTACAAGAAATGATTTGTTATTGCTTGTTTTCTATGACAATTACGGTAAAACGGTCCTAAAACGCCACCAGGTTGAGAGCCACTGCAGTAAAAGGATGAGGAAGGATCACTGCAGATCACCCTGCAAACCCCCAGTCAGTGTCAGTAACCTGTAAAATGTGAAGTGAATAAGATTTAGAGGAGATTAAATTGTGAAAGAGGAAACATTAGAGAGGACATGACATCCACACCGACATGAATAGGGGGAAAAAGGAAATTCAGTGTCCAAGGCGGTAGTTATGGCTTAACACTCATCATAAGCACAGTGATGTCTTTCTATTTTTACTACTGGCTAAGCTTTCATGGATTGTTGGGATATCTGGTAGAGACATTTGTGTCCCACCCAGGATGAACTTCTCTTTCCATATATCATCAGGTCAAAATTCAGAATTTATGGATGCTTTTTGGTAAACTAGCAAATGTCGCTGGTAACCTGCATGTTAACATAGTCACTGTAAGCATTTAGCTAATGTACAGCCTTGTGGAGCTGCCAGTGCTGCCGTCGATTCTTATTCTTGTTCAACTTTCAATAAATGAAGCCTAATGTGATTCAGCGCTATTATACAAGATGTGGGAGTGAGTGTCAGTTTTGGAAAGAAGCTGGCTGGAAGCACTGACGGCACCGAATGAAAGAGGAAATGAATCAAAAGATCCCTGTGAGGAATGGTGAGAAGAAGGGGTGAGAAACGGGGAGGGAGGGGGGGAGGGGGAGTCCACATTATCATTATTTCTGCCGCCAGCCCCGGAGTTAAAGCGTGTGAGTCGACCTGGTTAGAGAAATGAAAATGTTAAGAGCGATTTAAAGGGGAAATCATTCCACCGGCCCAAAGGTTTGTAAGTCCGCCCCGACAGACTGCAGGATCAAAAGAGGAGAGGGAGATAACAAGAGCCTGATCATCCTCCGACTGACCCGGCGGCTGGGGGTCCGGCCCCTGGACTCGGGGCTCAGCGGCTGGGAGAACTCAGGGACACAGGTGACACGGATTTGAGGCATGTGGGGGTTATTATCCCTGGAGGGACTGTCATGGGCGGGGTAGGAAGGGGGGCGGGGGCGAAGGGGTTTGTAACCGGGGAGTAAGAGGAGGTTGTCGAGGTTGACGTCCTTCGTCTCCTTGAAAGAGTGGTGTTTCTTGGGAGGGATACGAGGCGAGTTGCTCTGAGCTCGACGCATCACCTGGAGAGGTAAGGTGAGTGTTTACAAGGAGCAGATAAACATGTAGACTGCAAACAAACAAACAGGTTTTCTTCTTAATAAACATGCAGTCCTTTTACTGTAGAACTGTTAAAAAAGTGTGGATTGTAATTGAATCTTCTGGACTCTTCTAAAGTTGTGTCTTCATTCCTCGACCCAAACAAAAGATTACAACTGGGAATGTTGCTGTTTAGCTGCACAGCTGCTCTCAAGGCCCTCTTTGTTTGGGTAACAGAGCGAATTTCACAAATAGTGTGCAGAAAAGAGACTAGACTTGAGAATTACTGACCGTTATTTACAAATGCAGTCCAGTTTGACCTGCTGCATAGCTCTAAGCTGTACTTCTGACAAAAACATATTGAAAACAAACCCATCTTTGTCTGGGTTAACCTGCAGCGTTTTCTGAATAAAAACCTGCCACCAAAAATACCTCATTAGACATGCAACCCTTATCCCCGTTATTAATATTTCTATATCTTTAATGCCTTGATTAGCAAGGTGAGCAGCTGTAACACAGCAATTTCCCCTTGGGGATCAATAAAGTATTTCTGATCCTGATTTCAGGTGTGTCTCGTGGCCATTTCTATAAGCAGACTTCCATCACGGCGCTGAAGGCTGCGAGAGGATTTGTAATGCAAATGCAAAGCCTCCAAACATGTACACTCAACACATAAAAGAGTTTCATCTCAAAATGCTTCGTCAAGTCTCAAGGCCCAGAAAAGTGAGTAACAGTTACGTTTCTGTTCTCACAAACATACATGCTGATGAGCGAAGGCCTTAAGTTGGTTTATTACCTCACAAGAGTCTCTGAAATGGGCTCTACTCACATGTTTGACAAGAGCCTCACTTAAATATCCTGTCTTTTAAAATATTTCTGGAATGACACTCCCCATTTGACAAAAGCATCACATCAAACGCACACGAGGAATTTCACCGCACAAACATTATTGTCACATGTACAAAACAGAAGAAGGCATCATCACAGGTGAGACAGATCCTTCTGCAGGTAAAGAACAGATGATACCTGGAGGGAAGAAAACTCTACAAAGACAACATCAACAAACACTCTGGTAGCCTCCAGGGAGCTCGAACTACTCACGGTGTGTTTGTGATCTTAGGCATTAAAACGATCAATTTACCACCAACTCAGCTTTGTCACTGTAGCTGAACAGCTGTTTGTGCACCAGTGAACTGTTTATTTGTGCCTCATTTTAACACAGCTTGTAAATAACTGCAATAATAATTTTAACAATTAACAATCTGCATTAAAATCTTCACCTGATCAGCTCAGCTGTGTCTAAAGATCTGTACTATTAAATCTAAATTATTTCTTAAAACATGAAGTGCAGTGAGCGTTTTCTTTTCATGTTGTTTAAACCCGTCCAATACAAAACAATTTGTCTCAAGAATAATCTAGAACAGTGTCTTAAAGCCACATTACTACGCTGACATCAAGAAAATATGACTGTATTCCAGAAACTAATTGCTTTGCGTACTGTGTGTGTGTGCCGTGCTCGCTACCTCTTGGGCCCAGGCGGGCTTGTCGTTGGTGCTGGGCGCCTGGTCTTTGTAGTGGTACAGCTGCTTTTTGTCCTGCGGCGGCCGCGGCGGCTCCTGCTGCTGCTGCTGCTGCAGCGACACCAGGTACGCTCGCTCCTGCTGCAGCTGCCTCTGCAGCCGCTCGGCCTGCCGCTGCTCCTCTATCTGCTTCCTCTTGTACTCCTGCGCATCAAACAGAAGAGGGGTGACGGCGGATAAGCAAGGAGCTCGTGTCCAAAAGAACATGCAGCCATCTACTTGTTAAGAATATTTAAACTGAATCATGTCTGTGTTTCAAATACTGCCTGGTAACGATTACCTTTCAAAATTAATACACAGTTTAGGATTCATGTGTCCCTTTAAATATTACAGCTGCGTTTGGCTCTTTGCCTTCACCTTTTCTGTTATTCAGGAAACGTCCTCGTTGTGACAAAGTTATTATAATCTTGTTTATAGAAAAAGACATCTGTTCTGGGATAGGAAACATAACATTTTAGCTTTGCCTTCAAAAAGGTTCAGACGTACAGGCTCCTTCCTAATAAAAGGTCTTTGAACGCCAAAACATGATTCAGACCGGTGTTGGACACTAAATCGTGACCAGACTGATGAAATGCTTTTAGTGTTGGCAGCTCTTTAATGCAGGGTGATCCACTGCACTGATTCAGTGGTGCAGAAACTTCAGAGACATTAGTGCCTTTAAACAATAATTAATGAAAGATTATAAAAACACTGTCTGGACTGTGGTTTGACAGGAGGCGTCATCATATTGATAGCAGGCAAACATGAATGCTCACCCAGTATTAAATGGGAAAAAATGTTGATGCAACTCAAATATTTGACCTATTATTTTAGAGAGCAAGGATTTGTTTGTAGTTCTCATTTTGCTGATCGGTTTTAAAAGCGTCCTTGCATGTTTCTCTCAGCGTCTCGTCAGATCAGAGGTCTGGCATTTATCCGAGCTGTGTGCGACGGTCTGCAGCAGCCGATGAGTTTGTGTCCTCTCAGAAACAGGCTGCTGGAAGAAGCTGGCTGGTTGTTTTGCAGCGGTGGAAGAAGTATTAAATAAGTACTAATACCACACTGTGAAAGTCATGCATTCAAAACCTTACTTAAGTAAAAGTATGTAAGTATTACCAGCAGAATGTACTCACAGTGCAGTAAAATGTTTCCATCAGTATTTTATATCTGTTTCTGGATTTGGATTCTGGACGTGTGTGTCGCATTTTACTGCTGCACATGTTAAAGGTCGAGCTCATTTTAACTCCTTTGTATGCATCGTGGTCTATAACATCATCATGTGTTTGTAGGCGTCGCTGTCCTGTGAGTACCACGTATCTCTAAACAGTCAGACAAACAGCCTGTTTTCAGCGTTGTAACGATGGATTTTCCAGCTGATGCAAGGAGGGTTTAAATAGTTCATTTAGCTGGAAAAGGAGGAGGATTTTCTGAGAACATTAAGGAACACTTCATCCTTCAGTTTATCACAGACATGTGGAGATAATGAAATTTTTCACTGGACAGGAAGGGGATGAATAACTGTAATCTGAAAAGTAACTAAAGCTGTCCGACATATGCAGCGAAGTAAAAAATAAAATATGTGCCTCTGAGATGTAGCAGAGTAGAAGTATAAAGTTGGAATTACTAAATAATATAATAAATAAGTAAAGTACTTCAACTTTGTACTTAAGTACAGAACTTTAGTAAAAGTAGTCCACTGCTGTTCTGGGACACTGCGTCTGCTTTGAGGTCACTTCATCGTGAACAATGAAGCTGAATAAAGTGTGACTTCGGCTGACACGCCCGCTGCTGTGTGTATTTATTGATTTGATGTTTGTTAGCCTTTTTCTGGAGAGCTGAAGTCTGATTCGGTCCTGCCTCAGTATTGATCGAGTATAGACAGCCTTCGCCACATCACCATTTCTGTGTGTAAATAACAAACAGGCTGACGCGGAACCAGCGCTCGCCACGTTCTCCACGTCCTCTGAGCTGTTGTCGTTGTCGTCTTTAACACAAGAACTCAGGGGAAGTTGTTGTTTGTGTGCGTGTTTGTGTGTGACGTTACCAGCAGTAAGGCCTGCTCCTGCAGGAGCTGCTGCTGCAGGATCTCCAGCTGCCTCTGCTCCTCCTCCAGCTGTCTACGGATATACTCCTAACCCATTAGCACCCAGGCCAGCACGAGACGCAGCCAATCAGAGAGCACCGAGGCAGGCGAGAAGCAAATCGGAGCCAGGGCAACCAGTGACATCAGCAGAGCAGGAAACAGGAGAAAGGAAAACGAAAGAGGAGGCCAGAGAAAAGGAGATTTATTGAAGAGGTGTGAAAGTAGGGATTTAGTCAGAAATAGACGAGGAGAGATTAGAAGAAAGAAGCAGCAGGGGGCCGTAATTAGTAGAACAGGACGATGTCAATTACTGGAGGAATGGTGTTAGAGATCAGCATGAAATCAGCTGTGCAAGATGTGGAAATGTATGTCTGAAAGGTAGAGTGTGAAGAGGGCGCTGCACTGCTGGAAAACCTAAGTATTAGTCATGCAGTCATTTGCAAAGCCTCCTGTCTCCTCTGTTGTACTGTTACACTGGATATGTGGTGTTTCTGCATCTGACTCTGCGGATCCTTCTTTATCATTAGAAGAACATCGCATCCAACCCTACGGCGGCAACCTTATACATAATTTAATAAACATTATCCACCAGGAAATCACTTTAAAAGTTTTTTAATTCATTCAGAAAACTTGGTACTGCTTCACAACGCTGTATTTTTTGTGTGCAGTATTTTAAATATTCAAAATGTTTGTTCAGTCACTTGGATGCTGACAATTTAGAAAAGGTCTCAAAGGTTCTTATCGTGATGTTTTTATGGATGAATTATAACACGGACCAAAAACCTATCAATCCGAGCAAAAGCTGAGCAATTATCTGTGGACGTTTGGTAGAAAATTAGTGAGCGCAAAGGCTGACAGGGGCTTATGGGAAATGTAGTCTGAATTTGGAAACATCTTCAGATTTGTCTCCCTAAGCCGTGCTGAGGTGCTGAAAGTAGTGAATTGACATCTAACTGTTAATTATTTAATTAATTAGTAGCTAAAATTACTACATGTAACACCTGCAAGTCATATTCTCACAATCCGGGGATCGCGACACCAAATGTCGTGAGTTTTTTTCTAATCTTCCGACCTTAACAGTGACTGAAATGAAACGATAAGAGAAGCTCACCGCTGGCAGACATCTGCCGCCTGTGACCAAAGGTAGTGAGATGTAGTCGTTCCTTCAATTTAAGGGTTCACAAGCCAAAATGAAGCCATGTGTTAACCTTCATCACCGGTTGTTTTATTTGTACTTTTTAACTTATCTCCCACTTGTTTATAACGTATATATATATATATATATATGAGGAGTGAGTGATGGATAAAGTCACAATAAACAGACGAAGAAATAAGAAGGTGACAACTTTAGTGCAAAGGTTACAGTGGTGAGTTTTAATGAGTTAGGAAGTCACGCCTCTCCTACCTGTGTTCCTACCTGTTCTCTCTCCGCGTGCCTTCTCTCCTCCTCCCGGCGGAGCTGCTCCATCTCTTCGTACCTCCTCCTCTGTTCCCGCTCCTGCTGCTTCCTCATGTCTCGCTCCCGGCGCTGCTGCTGTAGGTGGAGAAGATTTCACACAACGCTTCAGCTGTGTGTGTGTGTGTGTGTGTACGTGTGTTTGTGCACATCAGGTGTGTTTCCCTGGCATTCGGATGAGCCGAGGCGCTAACATCGCAGGTGTGATGGGTTTTTGCATGGAAGACAAGTCGTTTCATAATCAAAGCTGAGATGTGAAAACAGCCCGAGGCTAAAACAGGCATTCTCATTTATCAGATGTGACGTTAAGGTACTTCGTTGGCTTAAGTTAACTCCCCATCTCCGTCAGTTGTTGTCCGCTCTTTCCCAGGTGTCTTTTATCTTTCTTAATATTTTAAGATTGATTCAGATGCACTTATTTCACACTCTGGTAGAGCAAGCTTTAGAGCGCTGATATTCTTACTCTGAGCTACGTGTTAGCGTCTATACATGGCTACTAGTGGTTGACACTCTCAGAACTTAACAGGATGCAATTGAGCCCCAGTATAGTGCAGGCAGTTTGTCAGGAAGCAAGGTCAACAGCAGACTCTGAATCAAACAGAAACTTAAAGAGTTTTCCACCACCGCTGCTTTTTCTGTCATTATCTCAGCAGAAACAATAACATGTCAGCATGTTTATGTTTATTTTGTGTGAAGTTTCTCACGGAACATCTTCTGGTGTCGGTCAGGGATGATTTGGCTCTAAACTGCCTGCTAGTGGATCCAGTTTTAAATCCTACACACAAAATACGCAGGGAGCAATGTCACTCTGATCGTTAACAGGCGGACTACAGATACTCGTTGGCGAACCTTAGCGTGCCATCGCAGGCCGATCAATCTCCTCTCTGTCATGTTATCAAACCTTTGTGCTGCAGCTTCAAGCTTTTAACCCATGAACCACTAGAAGACTTTTATTGTGAAGCATTTAAAGGAAGTACAGGTTTTTTGTTTCACAGAGGCTGGCAACAGGCACTTCATACTTGGTTTAATGTGTCTTCTCTCAACCACAGTCAGCTGATTAGATAAAGAGCTGCAGGCGACAGGGTCTGAAATATATGTAGTGTCATCGAAATTATTACTTTTCGCCATCATATGCAAAAATCCCTCCTGCTGTGCTCCGTCACAGCACAGCGTGGTGCAGACATGCAAACCAGATGGAAATTCTGCATCATCACGGTCTACAGTTTCCCTTTGCTGAAAGCTTTAGGGACGATAAAACACCAATTAAAATGCTCTTCTGACCTCTTTTAAGTTCACCTGAGTGTGTTGACGTCTGTATGCAAGCTGCTTTATTCACTCATGTATTAAGGACATGTTGTTGTGGACAAGTGAAAGTTACCTCCTCCAGCCGTCGCCTCTGTTCCTTCTGCTCCTCGATACGTTTCTGCCTCTCAGCCAATAGTTGCCGCTTGTGTTCCTCGTTCTGCTGCTGCTCCAGCTGCTGACGCCGGATCAGCTCCGATCGCTCCTTATTGGCCAGCTGGAGGCGCAGGAAGTCCCGCCTCAGAGTGGACTCGCCGGGAATGTTGATGATGGAACTAGAGGAGAACCAGTCATGAAAATTTGTTAAGTAGAGTTGCTGGTGTTAACTTATCAGGTCTTATAACACATAACTCAATCATTTCCTTTAAATTATATATAATAACATATAAATGATGGATGATGGACGACTAATGTTTAATTAAAACGTTATGTGTGGCAGTAACACAAGTAGTGGCAGTACTACTAGTGCCAGTATATAGTAGTAGTAGTAGTAGCACAAATAGAAATAGTAGTAATAGCTTCAGTAGTATCAGTGACAGACGTTGTAGTAATAACAGTAGTAGTATTATTAGTATCAGTACACTAGTAGCAGTAGTAGGTACAGTAACAGTACTTACAGTATAAGAAGTAGTACCAGTAGTAATAATATAGTAGTAGAAGTAGTAGTAGTACCATTAGTCATGGCAGAAGTAGTATCACTATAATTACTAGTAGCAGTAGTAGGTACAGTAACAGTACTTACAGTAGTAGGCAGAAGTAGTATCACTATAATTACTAGTAGCAGTAGCATTAGTAGATGAAATAGCAGCATTAGTAACAGTAGTAGTAGTAGCTGTGTTAGTAGTACTTAAAAACAAATAGAAGCAGTAGCACTAGATACAGTAGTAGCAGTAATGTCGCAGTAATAGCATAAGAAGTGTTAGCAGTACTAGTACTAGCAGTAGTAGAAGTAACAGCAGTAGTTTTAGCAGCGCTAGTAGTATGAATAACCAAGTGGGAGTAGTAGCACTTGGAGTAGTACCAGCATTAGCAGTAGAAGTAGCAGTAGTATCATAGGTTGTAACGTCAGTAGCAGTAGTAGTACTGGCAGTACTATCAGTAGTAGTATTCGTACCTGGGCTCTCCAACGTCCCTCTCTTCATCCTCCTCCTCGCTCCCACTGTACTCGTACTCCGTCTCATCTGGAGGGAAACACACAGACGTCGGGTTAGCGTTCACGCAGCTGTTTGCAGCTGTGGGGTGAGTCAACCGGGGGGGGGGGGGGGTGCAGCCTCACTCACCCCTCTCCCCCCTCCTCTTCTTGGTGCGGTCGATGTGGTCCTTCAGCTGGATGCGGACCTGCCGCTCGTTGGGAAGGTCCCTGATGAACGGGTGTTTGAGGAGCTGCTCGGTGCTCGGCCTCTGACTGTGGCTCTTCACCAGACAGCTGTCTATGAACGACTGGAACTTCTTCGACCTGGAGACACACACACAGTCCGAAACATGACCGATTTGATGATTTTTAAGACTAACCTAATACTACTTGGTGTAAACTTCCACATCACTGCACCAAGTAGACATGTTAAACCACTAGAGATTAGTGAAAGTAAAACTGCTCTTTAAAAAGGTTCATAACTTTTATTTTTAAATTAAAATGAAATCTTACTGCCTCATTTTTATATTAAAAGTGGTTTAAAAAGATGGGAAGTTTACACGTCAGGTTTATTTTATCAGGGGTGTCTATGAGGGACAAATATCTAATTTTAAAGGAAGATGAAAGTACAAGGAATATTACTAACTACATAAATAAAAATATATAAATATATAGAGGATGTTAAATAACAATATAGATTTCTAAAGAGTACAGTAAAATACAGATAAATAATTAGCAGGTTATAAACTTATGTGATTAAAATGTTGATTACTATGTGTTGTCCTAGAAGAAATGGGTCTCTTTGTTGTCGTGCACATCTTAAACAAACTAGAAAAAATCTATTTAAAAAGGTAAAGATGCTGGAAATCAGTTTTTCCACGGTTAACCGGGTTTTTCTTAATCCCTTAAAGTGCATCTCTACGTAGGACGTGTGAGAGGTTGAGTCTAAAATCAGATTAGTGCTGAATGTGGCGCTGCTGTGGAGGCATAATGTGATGCTGACACCGGATAATAACCACAGAGCAGGTGCAGAGGAAGTAAGTGTCTGAGTGCGCGGCTGCTTGATTGCATGTGTGTGTGTGTGTTTTAGCACAAAGTGACTCACCACTTCTTAGACTTGAGTCTGGGGGCAGGATTTCTGGGGATGAGGAAGAGCGCTCTCATTGGATGCATGTCACACAGAGCTGTGGGGGAGAGAAAGTAAAGAGAAGGGAGGACAGAAGAAGGACAAACCAGAGGAGAGGAGACGCGATGAAAAAGGAAGGAGAGGAAACAGAAGGAGACATCACCAGACAAGGACAGGAAAGGAAAGGAGAAGGAGAGCAAAGGGCAAAGGAGGAGAGGGTGCAGGAGACAAGAGGAAAGGAAAGGAGAGGATAGGAGACAAGGCAGGAAGAGAGGCAAGAAAAGGAGGGAGAGGAGATGAGACAGGAGGAAATGAAAGGAAAGGAAAGAAAAAGAAAGGAGGGGATAGAAAATTAAGGGAAGGAGACAAGAACAGGAAAGAAGAAGAAAAGCAAAGGGAAAAAGAGGAGAGGATGCAAGACAAGAGGAAAGGAAAACAAAAGAAAGGAGGGGATAGGAGACGAGACGAGAAGAGAGGAAAGAAAAGGAAGAAGAGGAGGTGAGACAGGAGGAAATGAAAGAACGAAAAGAAATGAAGGGAATCAAAAGAAGATTAGATCATAAGAATATTCAGGAAAGAAAGGAGAGGAAACAGAAGCAGACATAAGACAAGGAAAGGAAAGGAAAGGAAAGGAAGGAGAGGAAACAGAAGCAGACATAAGACAAGGAAAGGAAAGGAAAGGAAGGAGAGGAAACAGAAGCAGACATAAGACAAGGAAAGGAAAGGAAAGGAAGGAGAGGAAACAGAAGGAAAGGAAGGGAAAACAAAAGAAACGAGGGAATAGGAGACGAGGCAAGAAGAGTGGAAAGAAAAGGGAGGGCCAGAGATGAGAGGAGATGAGACAGGGGGAAATGAAAGGAAGAAAAGAGAAGAAAGGAAAAGAAATAAAACAAAGGAAAACAAAAGAAGATGAGACCAGAAGAAAATGCAAAAAAAAAAAAAAGGATTGGAAAGAAGACCGGAGGAAAGGGAACAAAACGGCAGGAGACGAGGAGATGATAAAAGAGGAAATCAAAAGGAAACAAAATGACAGGAGAGGAGAGTAAGAGAAAAAATAATGAAAGCAAAGGGAACAAGAGGGTAAGAAAAGAGAGGAGGAAACAGAGATATCTTTTAGACACTTCAGACAAACTGTACTCTGTGTGCTCTCATAATAGTGAAATGAGTTTCACACTTACGCGGCGCTCCCTCTGCCATCTCTATAGCTGTGATACCGAGCGACCACAAATCACTCTGCGGAGACAGGGAGAAAACTGAAAACTTTCACATCCTATAAACGTGTTAGCGATTAGCACGTCGTGGTTTTGGTCCGCTGGTCAGTGTACTTGTGATAAAAGTGATAAAAATACAGACACGAAAACTGACCATCTGCCACCGCTATTGTGGATCCCTGGACACTTTCTCTGTTTTTAACGCACTGTCGCCAACAAACTGCTATTTAAAGTTGACGTTAACACTCTAAGATGAACCGAGGGTCACTTGACACGTGAAGCCCCAGAGGGTCGGAGTTAATGGCGTCTTAACAGAGCAGCGCCTCGTCCTCCACGGGCTCGCCACAGGGACTGTCCCCATTACTGCACATCCTTCATACAGTAACGACCGCAGATTCAGGCTTTCACTGGTTGTTTCTGTGAGGAGACTCTACGTGGGCCCGGGGTTGTTGGTTTGTGTGGCGATGATTAGAGATTAAACGTTCGCAGATCGCTGAACCTTTTCAGAGGTTTTTAAAGGTCAGTTGGTGTTACACGCTCACAGCTGCAAGCTTTCTGACTTCTGGCTGTGATCGATGAGGAGCTGAACTATACAAAAGCAATTTAAGGAAAAAACGGCAAAACATTTATTGTTTTCACTGTTGACAGAAACTCTCTGACTTTGTTTTGCTTTTATAAATAAGTAGGGGGGAGCGGGGTGATTTGAGCCTGCGGGGAAGTTGAGCCACCCCTTGTTTCTCGGCAACCACAGACAAAATTGGTCATGTGACCACACATTTTTGAAGAGTGATCCATTTTACTCTCCCTGTGACGGAGAGAGGTATATGGAATAATTTCTGATTCTTGTGTCTGAACCTTTACAGACAGGTTTGATGGATGACACAAGTTTGTTAAAATGGTAATTTGAGCCAAAAGACCTGGGGGAAGTTGAGACAACTATTTTACTGTAATCACAGGAAACCACCAAGTCATGCTTCTATAAATGGAAGACAGACAGGCTTCTACTCATCTTGTGGGTTTGGACAGAGCAGTGGGAGAGGTACGAAATAGGAAGTCCGTTCAACAGGATGGCTTTAAAGCGATACATCGATATGAAACAACTTGGAGACATAGCAGCAATGTTTCACTGTCTAAGTGCAATTAAATGTTGGGACTTGGAATTTGAGTTTGCACAGTGAAATGACATTGTTGTGTCCAACCCCCAAGAGTCCACTTTTGTTTTTGGAAAGCCATATTTTGAAAAGAACTTATTTCAGATCTAAATTGGTCATTCACAGGGATGAACCACCTAAAATATATGTTCATATTTTGAGACCTGACCGTCATGTCCTCACTTTAAAGACAACTCAAGTAAAAACTGGCTCAATTCACCCTGTTCTCCCCTAATGTAAAACAATAAATGACTGTGAGTTGCTGTTCAGGGAGCCTGTTGCGCTTCATCACCAGCAGCAGCGGCGGCGGCATGAATGAAGGCCAAACGTAACAGAGCATTTAACTAAAATAGGACAGAAATATCTGAAGGCAACAATTAAACCTAAATGTATTAACATTAAATCATGTGTGCTGAATCCACCGAGTTTCCGCAGCTCTATGCAGCTTTCAAAAATGGTTAATTATTTGGCTTGTTTGCATTACAATGGCACGTTAGGAAGAAGGAAAGGGTCGACAATAAAACAAACAAATAAAAAAGTTTCAAAGTAGCTTCAACAGTTTTTTAAAACATCCACATTTACTCCAAGAGAACTCAGATCTTCCAGCACGTTTTCACTCTGTGAAACAACATCATTATCAGTGGTGGTGATACAGTGTAAAAATGGTCTGTTACAATTAAAACTTCTTACTAAATTAAAAGTATTAATTAAGTATTAGTGCTGACCGATAAATCGCATTTTCATTGTCATCACAATAAGAACAACGTCGATAAACACGTCAAGATGCCTGAAGCGCAATGAAAACTAATTTTATTTAGGGCTTGGCACCAAAAAGTTTTTATCAAACGGGCCCCGAGCTAAAGACCGTAACATTTAATGTCAGGCTGCAGCCTCGTCCAGCTCTGTGTGACAACAGCTACGCTCGTTACCGTACGTACATGCAATAAAACCTTCGCAAGTATAAAGCCAATACTTTATTAATTTAACCTGTTCATAAAGCATAAACATGTATAAAATATGGAAAGCACATTTTAATCATCGCAATATAATAACGTTATTGCACATCGCGGATTTTCCTTATATCATACCAGCCTAAAAAGTATTAGCATCAAAATATAAGTACTAAATTTATTATTTAAATTATTTTACATACTGCTGAGTATCTTAACCTACAATCATTCATCATAATTTATTGGTTTATTATTCATATTTTGCATTAATAATCTGCAAAGTAACTAAAGCTATCAAATCATGTAAATGTAGTGGAGTAGAAAGTATCATAAAAAACCTACTCTCAGCAGCTACTCATATCAAACTGTAGTCCTTTCTAGAAAATAATCTCAGATGAGACGAGAACGTTCGCTGCCTGGTCCATACGCAGTACACGCAGTACACGCAGTACACGCAGTACACGCAGTACTGGTTTACCTTGAAGTCATATGTGGCGTCGGGGTTCTCGTCACAGGCGATGACCTCCGGGGCCATCCAGTATGGAGTCCCGATAAACGTGTTCCTGCGTCCCACCGTACGGTCCAGCTGAGCGCTCACACCAAAGTCCACTACAAAAACACACAATTTAAGGCTTGACTTGTACGCTATGAAATATTAGTATATATTAAGGTATCAAGTTACCCTCTGTGTTTGTGTGAGTGTGTGCATGTGTGTGTGTGTGTGTGCGTGCGCCCTCTCACCCAGTTTAACTTCGGCGTTCTCTGTCAGCAACACGTTCTGGCCCTTGATATCTCTGTGGATGACCTTGTGCTGGTGGAGATGGGTCAGACCCTGCAGACAAACAAACAACACGCTTACAACTTCCTGTCACACGGGACAGAAAATGTGGTGTCCCAAATCAGTCGTCCCATTCAAGTCTTAAGCCCAGTGAATCTAAGGTTAGAAAAGAATTAAAACTAATATAATAAAAACATTTTGTCATTTCAGTTTCTTCCATCAACTGTTTCAGACAACAGAAAATATTGTCGTCTATAAAATAAAGAAAACCCCCAGGTGTATATGCACTAAAAATGTTTTTATTTTCTGACAGAGTTATTATCCATAAAGTCAAAATTTCATTTGTTTAATTTGATGCGCATCTACAGGGAACAGTAAAAATGGTGATCTACAGGCTTGTGGATCATTTGTGGTTTCTTCTAAGATCCAATATGGGCTTCTATAAGATCAGTACAGTGGCTCCTTTAAAGAACACGTCAGTCCTCATCATGAGCGTCTTATTAAAACTACTTGAGAGCAACTTGGGTCCCTGGAATAACACAAACAAAATAAGGTGTTCCTCAGGGATCCTCCTGGGGTTCTCTTACATCACCGTTTCCCACCAAAAGGGTTCCACCAGACATTTAGGTTTTTAAAGAGAAGATGTTTTCAGGCCGACACCTCACTAGCGGTGACGTTCATTTTATTTTCGTTAGTTTCGGCTCTCACCCTGAGGATCTCTCTGCAGACGTAGGCGATCCACTCCTCCTTCAGCGAGTTCCCTTTGGTGTTTTTGATCAGATCTGTCACCGAGCCGGCCCCGCAGAACTCCATCACCAGCTACACACACAAACAATGTTACTGTACAGATTATCACACTTTTCTACACGACCTCTTGGATGGACTTGGATGGTTTGGTGGCTTAATGGCTGGGGCCAGAATCTGTGGACTGTCTGTTCAGTCATTACCTATTTTTAAAACACACAGTATGTAGTCTCTCATATCAAAACAATAACAAAAGACGTAGCGTGGGATCATGGGAGTTGTTGTCTTCACCACCTCTGAGCTTCTCTCGGTTAGGATTACTTCGATGTTAATCGCTTAGGAGGTTTTTACAGAGAGCCGAATTATCTGCAGAGGTCTCCTCCTCTCCAAAACAAACAGACCAGGTGAATAAACCCAGTAGAAACACTGAATAAAGCAGTTTCACGTTAAAAATCTGCGTTTTTCCGATGCGGTTTGGCGGACACAGGACGCTGCCAGCCCTAGCTGCCGCTAACGTTTGCTCAGCTTTATTTCTCTGATAACTTTGGATCCAGACGTTCGGTGACTAAAATCCTTCATCTGCTTAAAATATACAGTAAAAAACAACCAAGTTCTGAAAGTGCACAGTACATATGTGTCTTAAAACTGGATAAAGAGTCATAAAGAGAACGTTGACACCAGTACAAAGGGGGTAATGAAACGCACTTTTACCTTGACAAAATTAGGGATTTTGTCGGGTTTAAAAATTATGTATTATATCTTAAAAATAAAAAAGACCGCTAATGAAAAGGCTTTGTTTACTTATTGCAAATTGTTAAATTATTATTTATATTTAAAAGAAAAAAATACCCTACAATTTGAAGGTGTAGACATTTACTTATCATTAACTATTTTTTAGGATTCAGGAAACTGCTTAGCACTCATTTAAAGAGCAACTTAACACCAAATCCACTTAATTCTGGTCCCTAGTGTTTATTTTAATGGCAGCTCCTGGCCTTTCCCTCTAAAAAAAACAACTAAAAACATCAACATCACATTAACCCTAAACATGCTAACCGCCCCTATTAAGGAATCCAAAAGCAGAAATCAGGTCTCGGCTTCATTCTTGCAAAATTCACAAAACCACAAAAGCTTGCAACCAACAGCAGCTGCATCCATGTCGTGCTTGAGTGAAACATTGTTTCAGTACGCAAAGAGGGTGAGTTCAAGCTAAAATGTTTCGTCGCTCTTTAAGTTAAAGACACATGTACACACCCAAAGCTGGTCATCCACTCCAGGAGGGTTCTTCTTGACGAAGGCTCCGTAGTAGGTTGCAATGTTCCTGTGGTGGCTGTACTTCTTCAACATGTTGATCTCAGCTTTAATCTCCTCCTCCTCATCCTAAAACACACACACACACACACACAATACAACGCTAATATGAACATTCTGCGTTTACGAAATGCATATAATGAGATAAAGAAGAAAACCTCTCCAGCAGAGTCTCGTGAGGACAAACTGTGCTTTGTGAGGCACTTACTCCGGTGACGTCCATGACCTTGATGGCAGCAAGCTGGCCTGTTTTGACATGGCGACCCTGAGAGACACAGAGAAAAACATCTGAATGAGGATAACTTTTATTAGCCAGGTACACATGCATGAAACTTGATCCCGGTATAAGCGTAATTAAACAGGGAGACAAGTCCTACAGTATGTGCAGATAAACATATCCATACAGTTTATATAAACATACAAATAACAACATCTGTCAATGTCTGCAGACGCTGATTAGGATCTGGATTTGAAGTTACTATTCAAAGGCAGCCAGGGGACTTTAATCATTGTTTGCCAAATAATATCACTTTCTATAAAATGCAATTCTTTCCCGAGAGAAAGAATTGTTGATTTTCCCCAAAGAATCACTGCAGAGTTGTGAAATTAAAGCTTTGTTTTTGCTGGCTGCTGTAGCTGAAGCTGACGAGGGCAGATGTGTAAGACGATTCCCTGTAGATGATCTGTCTGCGTTTATCTCCCTGATCAGTCAGAGTTCATCACAGTTTTCTCATCTGGTTTCAAGAAATGATAATATTTACTTTGGGTTTCTGGAGGAGAGCTACAGTATAGTTTTATTAGTTCTTAAATGTTTTCAAATCCCGTCTGTCTGTGCGGTTATAGTAACTGTACTTTTATCTCAGTTACTGATATGACTGCAGCTAAACAATTATTTTCATTACCGATTATTATCACAATTAATAGTTTATTCTACAAAATGTCAAAATCCTATGAAAAATGATCATCGCAATTTTCCAGAGCCCCAAAAAACTCACATCCTCTCACATGTAAGAAGATGAAACCAGCAAATGTTTCAAAGTTTTTGCTTAAAAAATGACCCCTGCAGAGTTTTTATATTTCTAGATATTCTCACTGAGGATACTGTAGCATGGATTTTCACGGTATGTCACACTTAAGTGGAACATTTTACTATGGACCAGACAGCACACCACTCTCTCTCCCACATGACTGACATGACTTACATATCCCATTTTTGATTTATGAGTGGCTGTCATATTTAAATGCTCTTTGTAAATTGTTGTCTCCTGATGAAGGCCACTGGCTCTCTATTAAAAAAAAACATTCATGAAGCAGGCGGGGGGGAAATTATAGCTGGATCTGATTGTTGTTGATAGTTGCACCGTTCCAGTTAATGACGTAATTAGATAATTGTTTCCCATCTGTGTTGATGTACTGCCAAATCACAGTTTCTGTGTTCAAAAAATCCCCAGGACACACACACTCTTTTTGGACGGTAAGGTGAGTCAGTCTGAAGCCCGTGTAAAAAGTATTTCTGCAGTGAAAGGATGTTGTTTTGCCGCGTTTGACCTAAAAACCTCCATGTTTAGGTTAATTAACCAGCTGACGCATGCGGCGTACAAAGCGATGCACGTTATTATTTAGTAACCATGATCCATGAACATCAGATTTGACTGGAATATAATGAAAAACTACAGGCTATGCTGGACCATTAAAGCAGCTTTATTTGTGTGGGAGTATGATGGAGAGACACGCGATAAAGTTTGTTACAAATTTAATAACAAACTGGATAAAGCAGTCAAGCCTTAAAATAACTCCAGCACAGAGAAAGCAACACGAAAATAAAATCGCGACAGTTTGGAAGGTTACTGAAACATTTCCAGCTGATCAGCTGCTGGACGAACGTGATTTAAACGAGCTTTATTACTTGCTGTAATCAGCTGTTCTGGAGCTTGTTTTGGAGGAGGAGGAGACCGACTTTGGCTCCGTCTAAAAACTTTCTGACTGATGAAAAGACCGGACCCAGTATTTAGCGAAACTCCATCAGCTGTTTGCTGTAAACACACCGCTGCATGCTGGCTCGGTCTCAGGGGGACATCGGCGAGACTCGTGTGTGCTGATTGTGTGATTTATTTAACGGTGGACAAGAGAGGAGCAGAAAAACTGACATGCTTGAGTTAAAGCCTCTAGAAATTCACCGCAAGTCGAGCCCCGCCCCTCCAAAGTACTGGTACTTTCGGAAAGTACTGTCCCCCGAGCAGGGACTTTTTGTGGGGTGAGATAAAGACGCTGGAACAAAAATTAGACCCTGGTCCCTTCGGTGGAAACGCAGTGGGTTCCTAGTTCTGGGGTAAAGTCCCTTTGCGGCTAAAGCTTCAGTCCTGTAACCGGACAAAGTTCACAACCTTTCTGCCTTGTGACCCAAAGGTTTACGTGCAACTCTCGTGCACACATTCTTCCACCAAAGAGATGATTTTTAGAGGTCTGAAACGGTAAAATCATCTAACCTAACTTGCGACCCCTTAGATGTATCTAACGGCCCCTTGGAGGGGCCCCAACTCCCACGTTGGGAACCGCAGCACTGGAGGATGAAACTTCTCCTCCTCCGAACTCTAAAGTCAGTATCACAGCTGTGAGCGCGAGAAAGTGGAAATGTATCCGCCTCACCGCCGCCAGCCCACCAACCCCATCACACACACACACACACCATCTCCTCGTGGTAGCCTAGCAACAGGGCTGGCATGTTGTTTAGTGAGGGCAACGAATGGGGGGGTAAAGTGGTGGCGGTGTGAGTGCGTGTGCGTGCGTGTTGGGGGGGGCATGATATTTCACAGTCTGTGTCACTTGCACATGAGAGCTGCTCAGATGCGCGCGCACACACACACACACACACACACACACACACACACACACAGTCTTGGTTACTCAGTGTTGCATCAGACACTGAATGTATCTGACAGGCCGAAACCACCTCAGAGTACGGAAAGTCTCTTGTTTTGTTTTTCACATCTTTCTGTCTGTCTCTCTTTTTTTTTTAATTCTCTTTCTCTCTCTCTTTCCATCGGTCTGCAGTCTCTCTCTCTCTCTCAGTCAGTCATGTTGCAGCAGTTATACAAAGGGCAGGTAGACGAGGATAACTGTGAGGCGCCTCGCTGTTGCTGTCAATCTGAAGCTTGATTTTATGCTCGCTCAGCACTCACCACGTCGCCCCTCACTCTGCATTTATACCTTTGCATCAGAGAGAAACAGACCGAGGACCACAGTCGACCTCTGAGCTCTAACATGGCTGCTGTGCCTTCAGCCAGGAGAAAGCACAGAAATAAGTTCCTACTTTTCCTGCCAGCCTTGTTTAATTAAGCGGCAAGTGTTACAATAACAAAAACCTGTTTAATCACTATGAAACATGACGTGCAACATTACGCCCGCTGTCAGGAGACAAGTGTGTTTAAACCTGTATTAACTGACCTTGTGGCTTCTCGGCAACATCAACATATCATCGCCTCAACAGTTTCTTATTTCTACATCCGGCAGTTACGGAGCAACATGATCATTCAAGTGGAGTCGTGTTTGAGTCCAGTATTCTCTCTCCGTTAGCTCTGTGTTTGGTCTCCACCACCTCCTGAGGGAAATATCTGGCTCTTTAGCTGCTAAAAGCTCCGCTGTGCCCACCAGCTCGGCTCTAACTGTGTCTGCCTGCTGTTTGCTGCTGTGTAGCTGCAAAAGTCGCTCTGAGAGTCAGAGCCAGAACAGGAAAGCTGCAGCCGGACAGATGAACAAAGAGCTGAAAGTCACTGTAAAGTTGTGTAAAGCCGAGGGGAGCCGCAGATTCAGCTGATAATTACCTGATTCGACGCTGTGACTGTCCTCATCATGTAAAAATGAAAACTGCTGGCCACAACATAGAGGATCAACACATTATCTGTATGGGTCTCGTGCGTTAGGACACATTGAGGATATGGTTTAAAGATGAAATGGGAATACAGAACAAGGGAGACCCAGGTTCGATACCCGCAGTCACACATCCACCCATGTGCAAGAAACTTAACCCCTAGTTGCTCCAGAGTTTGACCTCTGACATATATAGCAACTGTAAGTCAGCTAAATGAGTAAATGTAAAGTGGGGTTGTGGCTCTTTCACTGTTTCCAAACTACAACGACACACAAAAGACAGAAATACACACAGGAAGCAGCCGTAGAAGAAACACTTTCCTTTAAATGTACGACACCAAGGTAAGATGACAAGATAAGAAATCTGTTTATGCTACAAAGCAAACAATCTATACAAAAAATATAATATGCAGAAATAAACTATTTGGCATGGTGCAGTGCTGAGAATGAGTCTCTCAGTCTGGGGGAAGAAGCTGCTCTGCAGTCTGGTTGCGAGACAGCAGATCCTTCTGTCTGTCTTCCCAGGTGGCCGCAGGGTGAACAGGCTGTGGCTGGGTGGGTACTGTTCCCTAGTATTCTCTGAGCTCTGCAGGAACCTCACCGATATCACTGGTGCTCAGTAGACAGCTTTTATCACCTGCTGCAGAGCGATCCTCTCCTGAGCCGTGCACATCCCAACGTCATACAGTAACAGATTACTATTTCCAAACAGTAATTATTACAGTTACTAATGCAAGTAACGCTGCGTTACTGAGTCCCTGAACACACCATGCTCGACATGAATATGCGACTGTGCTGCACCTTATGTTGTTCCAGTCAGCCAAAAAACTAAAGGAAGAAAGGAGAACGAGGGAGAGAGGCGTTCTTTCCTCAGAGATGCAAAAAAACTGTTTTGTCCGGTGTAAACTTGTAAAAAGATTTCAACCGCGAACAAGTCTACGTCTAATTTATCGTAGGATCTGCTGAAGCAGCACAGCGACGGGAAACTCAGAAAGAAAATCCGGCAGCTGCTGTCACTGATGCTTGGACTCGTCGGGAGAGAGTGGCGTTAACGTTTTGTAAAAATACTGAATACTGCTTTTATAAATACATGTGCAGAAACGTGAGGCTACAGCCTATGTATTGTAAAAAACACACTATTTGCTGCTGCTATGAATATGATATTAGTTAATGTCAAGAGAGACAGTAATATTATTACTTTTTTAAGAAGTAATAAGTAACTAGTAAGTAACTTGCCCAACACTGTTGATGAGTGGCAGCCTCCTGTCAGGGAACAAAACTATTTCAGGGTCTGGAATGAGTGATCTAAATAACTTTACTGTGAACAAACCAGAACCAAGTCTTGCCACACCAGTCCAGATGTGTGGGGGTATCTGGGATTTTTCTCAGCAGAGTTAT